CAGGTGATCATGCACCACCTCCAGTTCTACTGCGTGTGAAGTGGCAAAACTTGGACTAAGTTCCTTGTGATTCTCAGACAATGGATTTCAGGAGAACATCCAAGGAACCTGGTTATGTCTGTAGTACCAAACGTGCTCCTGCAGGAGCTGTGAAAGCATTACCTTGCCTGCTTTGCTGTGGAGCATTACTGTCCCAGCCACCATGAGCTGCTCCCCCATGGCTGTTCTCATCTTCAGAGGGATCCAGAGAGGATCAAATGAAGTGAAGAAGCTTTTACTGCAGCTCCTCCATCAGCTCCTCCATCCCTTCTGCCTGTTGATCCTTTATTACTGAGCCTGCATCTTGCTGGTGGCACCAATGGTCACAGCTCACACCTCCTTTGCCATGGAGCATCACCATGAATGTGCAAATTCACTGCATGGATTGTAGGGCTGATGTGGCTTTCACTTCCTTGGTGTTTCTCATCACTTCACTTGTACTCCAAACCTGAGACATCTTTCCAGGAAAGCAATACCCAGAGTCCTAATACAAACTACAAATACATCTCTTCATGTCTTAAATTTATTTTAAAATGCTCTCATAAAAAGATTTGTTTCCAGGGGTTTTACCCAGACTTCTGCACGGAGTTGGCAAAGACATTATGTAACAGCTAAATCTTCATTAGTTATATCTGTTTGCTTTGTGCCTTCATGACAATGATGAAAGCTGTAAATAAGTATATTGTCCCATCTTAACAAGGATAGTGTATCCATCAATAAGGACACTTACTCTGCTGAGATCTTTGCAAGGCTGTAGAAGGGAGTAAATTAAAGAGAGAACAACATCCTTCATCTAAAGTGTCCTTGTTCTGTCACTTAATGTTTTACCCTTGCTAATATTTTTCAAAGTCTGGCTGTTAGTCAAAAAAGTCACTCAGTAAATGTGACATATTTTTTCCAGCCTAAGTCTGTTTGGTCCTAGAATGATTCTTCTAGGCAGCTATGGCTGGAAGGGTGACCTGAAACTCCTTCTGTGTCTTCTCACCTTAATTTCCCCACAGTCACAGAAGTTTCCCAGTGGGATGGGTAGGGATGGAAGGGGCAATCAGAGGACATTGTTCAGCTGAGCAGGGAGGTGCAAACCCTTGTTTGGGGCAGCAAATGAGTTGTCTGGCTAAAAACAGTCAGGATGAGACTCCACTCTTAGTAGTCCACCTCATCCTGGACTGGCTGGTTGGTGACACCATGCTTAGCCCAAGGTGTCTCCTCTCACTAAATTCATTTAAGTGCAGCAAAAGCCGTGTGGTAACTTGAAGCTGTGCTGTGTGTCACGGCTGTCCTTGGCCCACGGGCAGATGCAGGGTTATGGGCCCACAGTGATCTCTGGGAGAGAGTGAGCAGGGGCTGGGAGATGGTCAGTGCCACTTGCTGGGAGAGACCCACGCTCCCAGCTCCCTGCCAAGGGAGCCCAGACACGGGAAGCACATCCCATGTGAGCCCAGCTGCATTGCATGGCTGGAAGGGAGTGTGTGAGCACACAGCCCGCACAGGGAGCTCTGCCATCCCCGGGAATGGAGAGGAGCAGTTTCCAGCACACTGAGCTGATGTGGCAGGGCCTGGCAAGGAGCTGAGGCTCCCACCGAATCCTTCCCTGGCTCTTCTGCATGGCATTTTATCCCTGCCTCGGCACAGGGGTCCCTGACTCACCGCGGTGAAACAAACAAACAAAATTAGTGTATTCAAGGAGTCTCGAAGTGATGGACTGACTGCCTCCAGGTTTATGGGACAGTCCCAGAGTGAAAATCAGAGTGCGGCCTGCAGAGGGAAGAAAAGAGCTGCGGTAGCACCGCTGCAATTCCCGGGGTCGGCTCTGCTTCCCGCTGCTCCTCCGGAGCAGGCTCCGAGCTGAATAGCTGCCTTTAAACATTAAATACATTCAAAGCCCATTCATATCACACCAAAATTAAACTGCTGGATTTCATTCAAGAGTCGTTCCCCCGAGAAAGAGCTGAGAAGAAAATAATGGTGAGCTGAACGCCTCACCCATTCAGCACACAGGAAAATCCCCCAGGAGGAAAGGTAAGGAGAGAGGCTGGGCTGTCACCTCACCTCGTTGCATCGGTATCTGTGTATAAACCAATTTCTCAATCCATTTAGAAATTCACTAATTGTCATTGGAACTATTTGCAGATGACTGTGAAGTGGCTTGGTAATGAAGAGGAAGTCCATTTATTCATTAACATTTGTGAAAATAATTGCCTGTCACTCCACCAACCATCCTTTGCCCCAGAAACACTTGATCTTCAGCACCTTTTTATTTTTTTCTGAGCTGCACTCTTTGAAACACCACTTACGATTTCCAGTCCCTGAAGGGCTCATTCCCAGCCTCTGTGACAGGAGTGAGGGTGAACACCCCACAAGGGGACACTAAGCATCCTGTCAGCTCTGCTGCAAGGAGAGGAGAGTGTATTGACTGTGCTGCAGGGTCTGGTGCTGCTGAAAGTGTGGGTTTTACAGGGCTGCTGCAGCTCTGGAGCCTGCCCCACACCTCTGCTGGGCACCACAGCAGGGCTGGGAGAAGCCGTGGATGCTGGGCTTGGTGACAATGGGGCTGTCTCTGGCAAGGAGGGAGACAAGGTGGCCCCGTGTGAGCTTTAGGGATGTCTTCTGCCCCCTGTTTGATAGGCCTGCTCTCAGCCTTCACCAAGACAACAAAAACACTGCATAAAGCCAGGCTTGCACCAGGAGGTGAGTCCTGGAGAGAGGAGGAATGGTTTTTGGAAGGTACAGGAGTGATGTCTCAGAAAGGGAGGAATGGGGAAAGGATGAAAATCTGTATTCTTCAGCTCTCTGAGGAATTGCCCCATGAATGCAGCCAGCACCTCTGCCAGGTGATCCTGCCATGGATGGTACACTGTGGGGAAGGCTTTGTCCCCTGTGCTCACTGGCTCGCCCCTCTCCGTCATGCCCAGCACTTCCACCAACACAGTAACAGAAACCAACTCATTCCTTCACTTTGGGCAAGCAAAATTCAGCATTGCCTGTGTGGCCAGGAGGCTCTGAGCCCTCTGCCAGCTGGGGAGGGTGGGTTTGCTGCAGCAGGTGACCTGCACACTTGAGGTCCCTGGAGAGAAGTGGGAGACAGAGTTTGCCACCCTCAGAATCAGCAGAGATCTGCCAGATCACGCATGCTGGGCTTTTGCTGCTGACATATCTTTCACTCCAAGGCTGCTTGTTTGTCAGCTGTGATGAATTTTTATTGTCTCCTGAGCATGTGAGCTCCCACATCTGCACCCAGGGCAAGGAGCACCACATCTCCTGGGCATGCAGGGCCCCCAGTGCTGACACAGCAGTGCATGGGGCAGGAGATAAGCACTGCCCTGCTGCTGGGACCCTGCACTGTGCACCTGCCTCTTGCCCAGGGCTGCTGCAGCAAGGGAGCCACACAACAGCAGGATGTGTCATCGCCTTGGCTGTGGGCGGGGACAGTGGTCACATCCCTAGGGAGGAGAACTCCTCTGCAGCTTGTCCTGGAAGTGGGGAGCAGAGCAGCTCCTGCCTGAACAGGATGGAGCAGTGAGGAAAGCATTGCCACAAATGCACTCAAGGTGTGTCCATGCTTGAGGTGCAGCTGCTGCAATCCTGCCCAGCAACTGGGCTGGCCACTGCAGCTTGGGATGGTCCAGGCTGTGTAATAACACCTGGCAACATCCTGCTGCCATAAGCCTGTGTCATTCCAGTGTGTCCAATGGACTCATGGTAGCTCATGGCTGTTGGGAATGGCTTATTGGATGTATTTGCTGGCCTGGGGTGAAAACTTTCAAGTGTTTCCAAGTGTTGGTTGCTGCAGATACAGCAGTGTGGGAAGGTGGGGTGAAGGGCTAGGTCAGGCAGATACCTGGAGTTTGGGCTTCCCATGTGGAGGAGCATTCCTGGTTTGGGAAGACTGGAGACACTGTTTGCTTCTTGGGCAGGTATTTAATGCATGCTAGGATTAGGCAAGTGTCTTTTGCTTTCAGGTGCTGAGGTGTTAAGAGGGAGAAGTGTGTGGGTGAGTGTCAATCAGCTCTGTGCAGGGAGAGCTGCCTGTTTATACCAGGGGATTTAGGCTTCCAGATATTTAATTTCTGGTAACTGTACTTCAGCTTGTTGAAACATTTCAATTTTGAAAAGCCTCTTGTGGATAATGAGCCTACAGGGAGGCACTGCTCCCAGGGAGCCTCAGACTGGGGAGCAGGGGTGGATGTGGGCTTCATGTTAGCTGTGCAATTAATGAGCAAGTCAGTAGCCAGCATTTGCAAGAAAAATCTGGGAGAGAGGGGAATAAAACAAAGTGAGAGAGAGAGGTTTTGATGCCTCCCTAGAAACCAAGATCAAGCACAGCTCACCTAAGTTTAAAATGTCCCATGTGATATGTCATGGGGTGAGGGACCACAGAGGGTGAGGTTGGGGGATGTAGGAGATGGTTCTGCTTTGAGGTCTGGGGTCTGCCTGGAGAAGACTCTGGAAGGGCTCTGCCAGCCCCAGTAAGAACCTTTAATGATCCTCCCAAAGCTGTCCCTGCAAAGGAGGAGAGGTTTGGTGTGACCCACTCCCTGTGCCCTGGTGCAGGGGGCTCGTGCTGGACAAGGAGGGTGCCCACCTTGTCTGCAAACCAGGATGAGAAACATCCCTGCTGGGGACCTGGGTGCACAGTTGGATATGTCACAGGGTCCAGCCCTCTCCTCCTTCCTGCCCATGTCCTGGGACACAAGGGTCCTACTGGGGCTGGCAGAGCCATTCCAGAGCTGGCTGAGGGGCACAAGCCTTGTCCAGGCAGACCTCAAAGCAGAACCATTTCCTACATCCCAGTGGATGTCACCAATGGGTAAATGGGCAGGAGAAAGGACCGCTGGTAAACGGACACGAGGGGGAATGGGAGCGATCCTCACACCACAGAGCTGTGTGGTGGCCCTCTCTGATGATCCATGGAGACCAAGCTCCTGCTGAAAAATGTCACAGTCTGCCTGGCCTCTGCTCCCCACTCACACCTTCTTGACCCTGTTAATTATTACAAGGGAAACGATGAAGGCCAACGTGCATTTCAGTCCATCGTGAGGGAGCAAACCATCAGTTTGCTCAGAGCCATGAGCCAGCAGAGCACAGCCACCACAGAGCTGCCTGGGCTGCCAGGGGACAAGGCAGCAGCAGCCTTTGCAGTGGCAGACATCATCGTGGTGGTTCTGTACTTCGTCTTTATCCTCGCTGTGGGGATATGGGTGAGTCCCTGAGGGGCCTGGTTTGGGTCTGCCAGAGCCAGAGAGGCTTTGATGCTCCCTGCACTCCTCCTGGGTACAAAGGGGTTTGCCTGCAAATGGCATCCTCTGCACAAATTATCCCAGTGTCTATGGAGCAAATTTGGGGGTGACAGGAATCCTTCTGTGAGCCTTCACTTCCACCCCAGCCGGGGACAACTGTGGGATCACTCCCTGGAGGTTGTTCTGGGAATGGTGCTCGGCTCAGAGCAGTCTCACATCTGGGTGTGGACAGGCAGGAGGCAAAAGAAAAGCCAAGGTTGTGCTGGAGAAGACTAAAATGGGACCTTAAAAACTTTGGAAAGATTGTTGCTAATGATTTGTTCGTGTTGTTTGGCAAAGGCCTCTGTCACAGACCCCTACTGTGTTCTGCTTGGCTGAACTGTTTTTTCTCTCCCAGTTGCTACGTTCAGGGAGAAGTCATTAAACAGGTACAAGCAGCTTCTTTCCACAGCACGACTGTCAGAAGCCTGCACAAAAAGGGGCAGAAGCGGTGTGTGAAGCCTGGCATACCTAACAGATACATAAAACTATTTTGGAGCTGGTGCTGAGGCCAGACACTGAGGATTCTCCAGGCTTGGTCTGACTCAAGGAGGGTGAATGGAGAAAAACTTTTTTTCCTGTTCTTTTTCCTGTGCTTCCAGTCATCAGTACGAGCGAGCCGGGGCACTGTTGGAGGATATTTCCTGGCTGGAAGATCCATGTCTTGGTGGCCTGTGAGTGAAATGCTTCCCTTTGTTTCTCATGGTTTGAAAGCAATTCCAGGTGTGAGAGCAGGTCTGGTGAGGAGACCCAGCCTTTACATGTTCTGACTGTAGTCTTGAGATGAAGGGCACAGATGAAGGATCCATAAGGAATCATCCCACTCATCTTTGCCAGTGGGCTGCAGCATGGAGCTGCCAGGCCAAAAGGGTAGCTCAGCACCTTCAGGGTTTTCCATATCTCAGTCTCTCTGCTTAAAGTCAGCAATAAAAATGTTCCCACTGATGAAAGTTGGGGAATGCTGGCTGCCTACCTGGGTTGGAAACTTCTTGGCTTGAACTCTCCACTGATGTTCCCAAGTCAAAAGAGCATTAGGTAATCTAGGAATGTGTTATCCAGTAAAGAGCATTTAAGCACTAAATCAAAAATAATCCCTAATCCCAGGACTTTGAGCCCTTGCTATTTAGAGCAGAGTTGAGTTTATTGACTAACAATGTACAGGATATAAACTTCAAACCACTGAAGTATAAATCTTCACTATGAAGGAAAAAATAATCTATTGAAGGCGCCTTTTCTTGGGAGTGAAAGGTACATACAAAGATAATTTAGAGTTGGAAAGAAATAAAAATGCCACAGGAATAAAGATTCTTCTCAGCCAATGCCAGACTCTAGAACCATATATCTCTTCAGTGAGTCGTGAGTAAAGGAATGCACTTCTTAACCAAAACAGGTTTTTCTTTTTTTTCCTTTGGCTGTGCATTTCCCATAAATTCACTAGGCTAGATTTTCAGCCTCTTCCACCAGAGACACATACACCTCTCTAAAATCTGTCATTTCTTAAAAGTTCTTTAAACTTCTGCCTCAGCCAAGTGACATTTAATGCAAAAGCTTAGCTTGATAGTTTTCTCTAATTAGGAGGGGGAAAATTAAAAGATACTAAAGTTGAATATTTTTTCCTCAATCTTGTTCTTTTAAACAAGATATCTGGGTTTTTTTTTTTTCTATTTAAAAAATCTCCCAAACAAATCCCAAAACATTGTCACTGCTTTTGGCTCCAACTACAGGTGGCTGAAGAGGGTGTTTGGTACATGTCTCTTCTGAACTCTTAGGTTTAGAGCTACCTCTAATGCTGTTCACTTCTCAGATTTGTTTGTCAGAGCTGATTCCACCTCTGCAGCTCTCCGGCAGGCTCGGCTCCTCATGGCCTTCACCTTGAGTACATGACTGGCTTATCTGTATTTTATTATTGTTTTTATCAGAGTGACAGGTTTCAGCTGTGCATTACAAGGCCTCAGCTAAGACCTGATATTGAATTGCAAGACACGTGGAGGCAGAGCAAGGGTCAGCAAGGTCAGAGATGGCACCTTGCTGGCTGCCTAACAAGGGAATGGAGAAATACACCCCATTTCATGGACACTGAGAAATCTGTGGTGTCACCAGGCTGCCCTCCCTCTGCTGTGCCCCTGTAACAGGTGTGCTTCTCAGAACCACTGGCAAAGTGAGCCCTGAATCTGAGATTAAGCTTTGCACTGGAGTGGGGGCAGTGGAAGGGAGCAGGGATGTGCTTTGTCATACCAAAATGTAGGTGAGGTGAGGAGAGCTGAAGGAAAACCCAACTCTGCGTCAGCACCCATCTGCCTAACCACAGGGAGATGACACCCTGGGGAAAGAGACTCTATGGGGGGAGGAAATGCTTGGGTTGACAGAGAAGTCCCTCCAGGTGGGTGTCTCAGTTCCATCCCTGCGCCCTGTGTTCCAGATTGGAGCCTCCCTGATGTCGACCGACGTGGGCAGCGGTTCCTTCATCGGCCTGGCGGGCACGGCGGCAGCCGGGGGCATCGCCGTCGGGGGCTTTGAGTGGAATGTGAGTGCCAGCTCTGCTGCCAACAGAGATGTCACTGTTTACACAGGGACTGGGGGTTTCCCTCCAAAATCAGGTGTTCAACGGTACCAGCAGCAACAAGTGCTCAGCTCTCAGGAGAGAAGCCGGCAGACATTCCGACAGCCTCGGAAACGTGAGATCTTTATTTTAGTTTAAGTGGAATTCACTGGGATTATTAGCTCTTTCGCCTTCCCAGTGGTGCACAGCCTTATTTTTAAGCTTTATTCTGCACTTGTGAAGATTAAAATAAAAGGTAATGGATGCTGCAAAGGTACTTGGATAATCACAGGATTCTGGGTGCAAGGAGCTGGAAAAAAAAAAAAAAGCAAAAAGATGCAGCATGTGCTCCTGTATTCACTGTAAATCCATGAAAATCAGCAACACTCTCTTCACCTGGCAGCTGCCAAAAGGTGGCACCTCTGGGGTGAACATCTGGGTGTGAAGGCAGGACTCATTGTGCCCTGTTGAAGTGGCCTGGAAAATTGCCACTGACAGCACACACAAGAGCATGAAAACCAGGCCCTTGGTGTGTGGTGCTAATGAAATTTCTCAGCTGATGAGGAGTGAGATTAGTGCCAGCCTCACAAGAAGCATCACTCATCTAACTGAATCCCTTGCCTACCTCAGCAGAGAGTGTTGGCAGTGCCAAGCACAGGCAGGGCTCACCAAAAGCTCTCTCCTGCGGTATGTATTGACTGCAATGTTTTTTTCTAGACCATTTAAGTCACCTTTAAATCCTTTGTGAAGAAAACAGAGACTGTTCAGCCTGGTGCACGTAGGACATAATATTGTTGTTCTCAAAGGAAATTTATTCAAGTCACTTTAGAAGCTCATGAAGACAAGATTGTGTTTCAGGGCAAATCTAACTTCATGAGTTCAGACTGATTTATTTCAGATTGGAAAGAGAACTTACATATGCCATTACTGCCTCCCTGTGCCATGGGACATCATTCAGCTGGAGGGATCATAGGAGCATCTTTCACCACAGCCAGTCTCTGCCACTGCAGGAGCCATGGCTGCTCTCAATCAGTCACAATCTCTGCTCACAGGGATCAGGTTTTTTTCTGAAAACTTAAATAACTGATCAAAATAAATGTAAGGATGAAAGATAATGGCTGGAGACCACCAGGAGGTGGGGTTTGATGATCCCATGGCTTTCATGTACCTTCAAGCCTGTTTGGGCTTTTGCTGGGAATTAGAGAAGAAATACATGAGGAATGCCTTTACACTTTCCAAAAGACTCTTCACCTGTGACAAAGCAACTAAAGTGCCTCTTTATCTACCAGTGACAGAAGCACATCTGCACCAGCCTGCAAGGAGAACATCCCAGCAGAATCTTGCTGTTGCTTATTTTTATGCTCCGCAGGGACAGTCTGCTGCCTCAGCCTCATCACTTGCTAATCGAGCAACAAACAGATGCTCCCATCCTGCTCTGAATCACTTAACTCTTCACTGCCACAGCATCAGTGGTTTTAAAGGCCACCAAATACACCATCATCTTTCAGAGAACCAGAGCAACAGAATACACCACCTTGCTCAAAAGACCAGGGGAGGGAAGAGGAAGGGGACACCCATGACAGAGAGAAATACAGGCCTTAGGAGGAGATCTTCAAAAGCATTTGGCTGAATTGTAATAATTCCTCCAGCTGCTGGCTCATCTTCTGAGCAGGGAGAAAAACTCAGTCTGCTTCTCAAATGTGGTATTTTTGGGGTTCCCCATCATGGGGAGGAAAGATGAATCTGACTCCATGTTCTTAGAAGGCTAATTTATTATTTTTAATATATTATTTTATTATTTAAATATATAAATTATAATAATATAAATTATTTTATAATTTATTATTTTATGATATTATATTATATTAAAGAATACTATACAAAAGAATAGAGAAAGGATACAGACAGAAGGCTAGAAGATAATAATGAAAAACTCGTGACTCTCTCCTCAGAGTCCAACACAGCTTGACAGTGATTGGTCATTAGGTTAAGACAATTCACATGAAACCAATGTGGTTGGTAAACAATGTCCAAACCACATTCCAAAGGAAATTCCAAAAGCAGCAAATCACAGGAGAAGCAATCAGATAATGATTGTTTTCATTTTTCTCTGAGGCTTCTCAGCTTCCCTGGAGAAGAAATCCTGGTGAAGGGATTTTTCAGAAAATATGACAGTGACACTCAAATACATCACATGGCACTGTACCTTTCTGCTTTCTTAGGATGGCTACTGCCAGAACAGGGGGGAGAGCTGTTCCCATGTGTTGAGTCCTGTGCCTTTATTCTCTGTCTCCTTAACAGGCCATCTGGCCACTGCTGGCTCTGGGCTGGATCTTTGTGCCAGTTTACATCGCAGCAGGAGTTGTCACCCTGCCTGAGTACCTGAAGAAGAGGTTTGGAGGGCAAAGGCTGCAAATCTACACGTCTGTGCTGTCCCTGATTCTCTACATATTCACCAGGATATCGGTATGTGTCCATCTGAACACCCCCCTCGTGTCTAGGGCAGGGAGAGCGCATCCGGGTGCAAGGCAGGGCTGCTCAAAGGAGCAGCTCCACTCCCAGGAGCAGCTGCAGTGTGTTAGTGTGCTGCCCTTGCCTCTGTATTGATCATGGAGACCTTTCCTAAGAGAGAGACAGAGCCCTCATTAAACAGCAATGCACACTGAGAACTTTACAGGGATGTGCAACTAATTGCTAAACAGTGTAAGTACCGTGGGCTGTCTGCCTGCTTTTCCTCTTCTATCACATCAAACCTTAGGCATCAGAGATAGAGGAAGGGCTGCATTACCCCATGTGAAAATCTGGCTGGCTGCATCTTGTAGAGATGAAATTCTCTTAAACTATCATAAACCTGCTGTTGTTCTTGTAGTTGAGATTTCAGCATTAGGTATTTTATGGTTGTTCCTCTCTCTTTCTCACTTGTGTTGCACAAAAAGGGTACAGTGAAAAGGGAGGTAGGTTCTGGCTTAAGAAAAAATGCAGCATCTTTTCTGAATTGCTTGTAGCATTGTACCCTGCTGGTAACCAAATCCCAGTGTACTGGGTATATTGGGTATTTCCCCCTTTTAAATGCCATTCACAAAGAAACAAAACTGTGCTCAGATATTTACTAAGAACTACCTGTGCCCTTGGAGGGAGAGGAGTGTATTTGAGAGTCCATTACAGGCACTGAAGATGTCAGTCCTTTGTCTCCAGCTGATTATCCCAAGGTCAGTACAAGCCAGCTTTCACTAGACCCTTCTGAAAAATTCAGATGTCAAATTGCCTTGGGAGACACTGACTGGAGATAAAACACTCATGTGGCTTCAAGGTCCTTCTCCCAGGCTCATTATGCCTCAGCTCCTGGGAGGGGCATTGAGAGGAGCTCCAGGCTGGGAGTGTGGGATAGATTTCCCCCTCTGATGGGCAGCTCTTGGTCATGTCACCCACTGCTGTCACCACTGCCTCCAGCTTTGCTCTGTGGGACCAGAGCACAGCTCTGGGTGACAGAGTGAGCGAGGCCTTGGGAAAAGGCACTTAAAGCCTCTTTACCTGTGAGGGATAAATAGCAGCTCTCTCCTGCAGCAGCCCAGAGTGAGCACAGCCACGCAGACAAGGTATGAAACAGAGCTGTCTTTCAGAGTGACCTTCAGCAGAGCAGCATTTGCCAGTGCTTTTCAGAGCAGGACCCTGGCCCCCATCAGTGCTGTTTCATCCCACTGGTTTCTCCTCTGCGCAGCCAATTCACGCGTGGCTGATGGATGTGGCTGGGGCACTTTATGGCCATGACAGGTGCTTTCTATTAAGCACAGCTATTGTTTGTGGAGAGCTCATTTAGCGGCTGGCTGGACAGCAGGCACTTGGTTACAAGAAGGATTTTTCTCCCTGTGCTTGCTGCCCAAACGTAGGTCAACAACCAGGGCACTGCAGAGTCTTCTTGGCTTGCAAAGAAAACAGAGATCTCAATAAACAGTGTTGTCAGAGGGCTGATCCTGCACGGCTACAGAGGTGGTGGTGTTTCCTGCTGGGAAGCCAAACCCCAGAAGGGGAAAGGATTCCTGTGGAGTGCTGGCTGTGCTTGCCATGCCTCAGGCCCACAGAGGTCAGGGCTCTTTGCTTTTAGGGTGCTCATTTCAGATATAGCAAATGGAATTCTTGCCCCATCCCTTCTGCCTCCCTTGGCAAGGGTCTTCACCTGTATCTCACCCCATACCAGAGTCACAGGTGTCCTTCTACCTTACCTTCCCAACATAAACATCTCCCATATCACCTTCTGCAATTTGGAATGATGTTATCTGTGTAATTCCAGGTTTCACCCGGTTTCTGGTGTCACTCTGCCAGAAGGTCCAAACAAAACACAGCGGATGGGACTTTCTGTATTTCTAGTGAGGTCCTCAGCAGGTATAACCTGTTTTTCTGGAGTCACTCTAATGTGCTGAACTGCATGAACAGAAAAACCACCTGTTGACCTTCTCAGATAAACCAATCATGGTACAAGACATCAGTGACTCTTTAGGAGTCTTTCAAGAGGGAGTGTCTCTGGACCATGAGGCCACTCTAGAGGCAGCCCTGGGAAGAAAAGGTCTCTGCTATCTCCCCCTCCTTCCCTCCTGTGTCTGCCTGTGGACACATGGGCTCTGCTATCCAGGGATGTGTTCTCAGTCACCAAAAGAAGTGACAGCTTACACCAGTCCTTCTCAGTGCCAGCCAGGATTCTATGCCTCAAGATGATCTTTCTTTTGATTTCTTTTTAGTCCCTTGGCGTAGCACCTTCATTTTCACCCTGCTGCTCTCCCAAATCCTGAAAACTCTGACCTGGAGGAAAGTTTTTCCTTACAGCAAAACAAGGTTCAGAGCCAAGAGTCCCAACAGCTCTTCTCCTCCCCTTCCAGTTCACCTTGGTGGTGTCCTCCCCTGTCAGTGCTTCCAGCCGCAGAGGGCTGCAGGCTGCTTTATTAGATTTCCCTTGCACGAAGCACTGCTAACGCCAGACTGCCCTTGGTTTTTTTATTCCAGACAGACATTTTTGCTGGAGCATTGTTCATCCAAACTGCTTTGGGCTGGAACCTCTACTTGTCCACTGTGGTCCTGCTAGCAGTGACTGCTGTCTACACCATAGCTGGTAAATAGCTGGTTTTGAAGGACACATCATAAACTGGAACTTAGGATATAAGTTTCCCATTTCCTACAGAGGGGAAAGAGTGTTCAGGTTCTGGTCTGAGGGAGACATTGCCCCAGTTGCTGGTAGTACCTGCCTTGTTACTCTCAGCTGTTGGAGATCTTTGACTCTTCCCCTCTTGGTCCATGGGAAGGAGGTACAGGGGAAGCATCACTGTTTTTAGAGGATTTTCTAATACTGCACAAGGCTCTGGGCTCCCTCTGTGCAGGAAGTTACCACTGCCCATATTTGCTATTTTGTTCCCTTCCTGCAAAATTAGCAACTTTAGCTGTTAAGAGGCTGAGCTGCCTCTGAGTTCTCCCATGAACATGGAAAACCTTCCACACTGTTCCTCATGGGAGGGCTTGTGACAGCTGTGGGCTCCAGAGGAACAGCTCAGCGCCAGCTTCTCCCAGTGGGTCTGTCCTGAAATGCCAGGGCTGGGGCTAAAGAAAGCTTTTATTCCAGGTGAGGTGCCTGTTTCCCTGTGTCACCTGTGCATGGTGACACACTGACTGCTGTCTCTGCTTCTCCTGGCAGGGGGTTTGACTGCTGTGATTTACACAGACGTGCTGCAGACCCTGATCATGGTGCTGGGAGCTTTGGTCCTCATGTTCATAGGTAAGGGGAACCTGCAGTGGCACTTCAGTGCTCCCAAGGCCACTAGACCTTAGCAGGTGCCTTGCCCTTTCATGTGTGGTGCAGAAATGAGTTTGATCTGCTCACAGAAGTGGTGCCAGCACGAGTCTCATTCTCCAAGCCATCATACTATCTTCATCCTTGCTAACTGTATGGAGGTGAGGCTCTGGATATCTTCACCTCACTGGAGTTGCCAAAGAACTTTGGAACATCGCATTCTCAGAGCCAAATTTAGCTCTCATTAAGCCCATATCAATTCAGAGTAGCCCTGCTGATTTCCACTGTTGACTTTGGGAGTTCATATGGGTGCAACTGAGAGTTATAAAAAAATAAACAGCAACAAGGAAATGACCACCATCAGTCTTTGTTTTAAGCCTTCTTGGCAAACAGAAAGATCTAAACTAGGTATATCTTTTTTTCATGTTATACTTTTCTGCTCTAGCTTTTGGAGGGTGTATAAGTAAAAACTAGATGCTGATGACATTGCAGGGATTAGGATCATGGAGGCTTTCCTGCATTGATCCTCTTCCAGAATGTATTGTTTAAACCACAAGGACTCTGGGCAAAATCCAGCTGACTTCTGTAGAAACTTTGACTGCAAAAAGCAAGGGTGGAATGAAAAGTAAAGGAGATAAGAAGAAGATAAAAGAAAAGTAATCACGAGACTCAGATTAGATAATAACTTTGCATGATGCAACAGCCCTTAAATCACTGGCATTTTCTTTACAGGATTTGAAAAAGTTGGCTGGTATGAAGGACTTAAGGAGAAATACAGCACAGCAATACCAAAGATCACAGTCCCAAACACAGACTGTCACCTCCCACGTGCAGATGCCTTTCATTTGTTCAGGGATCCCATCACAGGAGACCTTCCCTGGCCTGGCCTTGTATTTGGTCTCACAGTGGTGGCTCTTTGGTGCTGGTGCACTGACCAGGTAAATAAGACCTTTCCCTCAGCAGACAAACCACCACAGTGTTATTTTTAGTCCACTCCTCAGTCTGTGGATCTGTAAGCTGAAAAATCACTGTGCCTCAGTGTGCAGGAGCTGCTACTTTTTTTACTGGTCTAGACCAGAATGTCTCACTCCTTCCACCTTCTCAGCAAGCTGCTAATTTTATGCACTTCTTGGTGCAGTGAGAACAGGTTGTTTTCATCCATCTTTATCCCACTGTGGGCTGGTGAGTACTGGGAGTCTTCATGCAGTTATCATGACGAGGATATAAAAATGTGAATCTGGAGCTGGCTGTGCCGTGACCTTGAGTGGACCTCCAGACAATATTCCTTCATTCATATTCCCAGATGTCTCATGTCCCTTATTCCTTTTCAAGCTACAAACAGGGAAAGCTGAGTGTGTTTCTCGAGACACTGTGCTTCTGTACTTTCAGATGGGACAATTATGAAACCCCACCACTGAGCTTTTTACCAAAACACCCACAGTCTGCTTCATCCTGTGTCTCTTGCTGCCACACAGCTGCTGTCTCCAGCCCTCAAGGTGGCTTCATTTCAGTCAAGGGTGAAATTATTCCTGTAAAGGAAATTTCCACGCTGCCCTCTCCTGTAGCCTGTGGACTGAGCTCTGAGTGGTGGCAGCAGGCTGCAGTCAGTGAGGTGGGAAAGTTGTCCTTGGCATGCAAAACACCCTGGGATCCTCTGGGCTGAAAGTCATCCCTGAGAAGGAGAGACAGAGGGAATGGATCCTGCTCTCTCTGCTGTGCTGCTCTTTCATTCTCTGCTCCCTTTCTGCACTGTTTGCAGGTGATGGTCCAGAGGTCTCTCTCTGCCAAGAACCTCTCCCATGCCAAAGGTGGATCAGTGTTTGCAGGATATCTGAAACTCTTCCCTGTGTTTTTCCTTGTCATGCCAGGAATGATCAGCAGAGCTCTTTTCCCAGGTAGGCCTTCCCATCTTCCTTGACACGGGGCTCCATCCTGCTGTGACCACTAATCCCACACAGGTCTGCCAGCACTTTTGCAGCTCAGAAACTGCTGTCCTGCAGGCATGTTCATAGAGGTTCCTGTTGCACCATGGTGTTCCCAAGCCCTCCCTCCATCTCCAGTGCTCCCACAGTGGCAGAAATCCCCAGGAGTAGCCATAAGGGACATACTTTGCCATTGGGGGCATATAACTCCATGCTGTGGACACTGCATTCATCTATCTGGAGGGAGTCAGTGAAATTAAGTTCATGGGGCACTGAGGTTGTCCTTCAGATCCTATGGATTACATCCATTCAGTATCTTGGAGAGTTTTAGCAACCTCCCACACAAACTCATTTAGGTCCTGGTGGATTAGGCTAAACGAGCCTCCCTTATATCCCAAGGAGCTCTCACTGCTGGTTTCTCCAGAGCCTTCCTCTTTCCAGGAAGAATAACTTGGTTAGAAGGACCACTCCCAGAGGAAAGAGCTTATTTCCCAGATTTCCTAAACAGCAGTAAGTGAGCCTCCAGCATCCTTGGGAACCCAGCTGACAGGTTCATGGAAACAGTCCAGTTCCCACAAGTGACAAATCATCAAGGATTACAGTTATGCAACACCCAGGAGAGATTCAGTATCCTGAACAGAATTTCAAAATGTCATCTCAAAGTTTCACCTCTATTATATGATATAAAGCATTTTCCAGCTCCACTCATTGTAGCTGTATTCCACCTCTGAATTTATATGAAACTGCACAAGGCATCAGGATTTGTTCCCTTGATGGGCAGTGGGGTTTGCACTGACTCCCTGTTGTTTCCCTGTGTTCCCCAGATGAAGTGGCCTGTGTGGACCCAGAGGTCTGCAAGAGGATCTGTGGAGCTGCTGTGGGTTGTTCCAACATTGCCTACCCCAAACTGGTCATTGAACTCATGCCTGATGGTGAGGAACACCCTCGTGGGGCTGGGCTTGGGCCAGGCTCTTCATGGGGTGGATCAGGCTGCCCTTACCCATCCAAAGGATGTGGAAATCTTACCAGAGAGCAGGATGGAATAAACAGTGCTTGGAGGCCCACCCCTGATTCCCCTTCTGTGTTTGTCTCCTGCAGGGCTCCGGGGTTTGATGATTGCAGTGATGATGGCAGCCCTGATGAGCTCCCTCACCTCTGTTTTCAACAGCAGCAGCACCCTCTTCGTGCTGGACATCTGGCAGCGGGTCCGCAGGCAGGCCTCCGAGCAGGAGCTGATGATTGTGGGCAGGTCCTTGCATTTATTTATGTCTTGTTCCTCTCATCATCTCTTCTGATAGCAGCTTTTGCATCCTCCAGGCTGGGCTCACGGAGAAAAATCTGGTGCCTGCAATACAGAGCAGGAGGACAGCCTGGGAAAGAGCGTTGTGTTTTCCAGCTTCATCTTGGATAGGCCTGGTCAAGGAGAAACTCTGAGCGTTCCACTGAGCTAAGCAGATAATTGCCTCTCTTCTCTCTAAACTTATTATAAAAACTGCTTTAAATGTAACTTTTAGAAAAGCCAAAAGTGCTCTTGAGTCATTGTCACCAGAGGTCTATAAAAATGTTATTTTTGCATCAGACAGGAGTGATATGTTGCAATTACTTGTTTTTTTTTTTTTCTTTTTTCTTCAGGGTAAAGTGCAGAGCTGAGTCTCCCAGCTTTCTGTCTCTGTGATAAGTTGTAGTGTCCTTTGCAGATGAGCTTTGGTGCTGTGTTCTATCAGGGGCATATAAAGTTCTCCTCCAGACAGGGGAATTTAGGCTGCATTCAGTGTGGAGGTTTTGCTCTCCAGTCATGAGCATTAAGGTCTAAACTCTGCTGAGCCATTGCTGAAGGCTGCAGGCAAACTCACACTTCACCATGGCAGAGTGGGCAGAGGATGAGTCCCTTTTGCTCAGCACTATGGGCAAACCTCTGTGGCACACAGTGCAAAGGCAGAGGAAGGTTTCAATATTCACCCGAGACCCCAAACACAATTTTAATAAGTAGGAAACGAGTTGGAATTTGGCAAAGGCAAGAGACTGAGCACATTACCTGCTTGGAAAGCTGGCAGAAAGATTGCTTCCACAAGCTACCAGCTCCCTCTTCCTGTCATGACCAAGAGCAAGGTCATTGAAGGCCATGTCACACCAGGCTCACATTGGGAGAACAATTTTCTCTTTTCCTGTGTACACAAGGAAAGATTCTTGATAGCGATCTGTGGATTTTTTCTTAGAAAATTCCAAGAACAACTGGGAGCGTGTTTTGCTGCAAATCCACCTACAGGGTTAATACAATTTTATCCTTCTCTTTCAGAGTCTTCACCCTCATCCTTGTGGTTGTCAGCATTCTCTGGATCCCAATGGTTCAGTCGGCCAACAGTGGGAAGCTCTTTGACTACATTCAGTCCATAGGCAGCTATCTGAGCCCACCAATTGCAGCCCTCTTTATCCTGGCAATCTTCTGCAAGAGGGTGAATGAGCCTGTAAGTGAAGTGCCAACAACCAATTGATACATGTGTTTAATTTGATAAAATAAAGAGGTATCTCTTCCCTCAGCACTTAGCCTTTGAGACTGGTTAAACTCAGTCAGTCCAGCTCAAGAGTGACAATCAGACAGCCTCTCCTGGCATGCATTAGTGGATCTTAGCCCAGGCTCCAGTGGGTGTGGGTTTGCTTCTAAGAAGTCACTGCAAGTGGGACTTTTTGGCAGTCCCATTTGAAAGCATGAAAGGGAAGTTGTTCTGCCATTTAGGGATGATGTGTCAAAGGCTCATTGGAGGAGTGTTAGGAGGAGATTCTTGCATTGTTTGTGCTCTGTGTGCTCCATGCTCAAGGACAACGAGAGAAAATGAGGGTTTTCACCTGAAAAAATTCTCCTTTGATGCACCTCAGTGTGGATTTCCATCAGGCATAAAAAGTCTGGGGAAATAGGGAGAGGGGAGGGAAAACCACAACCAGAGGAAACTTGCAGTGACCTTTTCTCTGCATTTGCCTTTTCTCAGGGTGCTTTCTGGGGCCTCATGGTTGGCTTTGTTGCTGGTGTGGTTCGGATGATCCTGGAGTTTAGTTACAGTGCCCCGTCCTGTGGGGAGGAGGACAGGAGGCCAGCTGTGCTGAAGGACGTGCACTACCTCTACTTTGCCCTCATCCTCTTTGTCCTCACTTCCATTGCCATCCTCCTGGTCAGCCTCTGCACCCCACCCATCCCCGAAGAAAAGGTGAGTGACTGCAGCCACGCCCTTTCCCCAGAGCCCCCCTTTGGATACCCAAATTCCCCGGGATCTGCCCTTCCCTGCTCCTGCACGGCCAGGAAGTGGTGTGTGATGCATGTGCTGCCAAGAAGCCCTTGCTGCTGAGCTCTCCCTGTCCCCCAGATCACAGAGTGTTAATGCTGCTGAGCATGAGTGCTTCAAATTGAGTGTGAGTTCCCATGCTGTGCCCAGAGCTGGGCAGACACCACAGCCCATCATAACTGCTAGAGGAAGAAAAGAAGAAGGGGAAGGAGATGAAATCACATTACAGAGCACTGCTGAGGAGGAATTAAATATATCTAATTGTAGCATCTAGCCTGCTTCAGCAGAGCCAGCATCAATCTTGCAGGCAAACAAGATTAATATCTTTTGCAACATGGGCATTTAGGAAAATAACATTTTGTCCCAATGTGATCTCAATTAAATTTAATAACTTTGAGGGAAGCACAACTTTCTTTTACTTAGCACATTAAAATGGTGCAGAGTTGGGAGGTTTTATATAATAAAACCTTCAAGCAACTCTTCCCAGTCCCAAGTTTTAAAGCAGCTGCCAATATAACAAAACTACCACCTACCTCTCAGCAAAGGTTACTGGATAGATTAAAAAGACCTATTTTTTCCTGCCTAACTGCATGAGAGAGAAAATGCTGTGATGGCATCAATCTGTTGCTTCCTCATAACTTGTAAAGCATTAACCAGCTCCATGGATGTTTGATGGAATGTTATAGGTGTCAAAGAGACCCTGCTCCTGAAGATTACATGAAAGCAGGTGCTCAGATAGGGGAGGGGAGGGGGGAGAGAGGCTGGCTTTGTGTCTGCTTGGAGATAAACTCTCAGCTTTTATTAGCTATCAGAGGATCCACATGGGAGAGAGAAATACTGGCAAGGAGGCACCATTAGTTCTGCTGCTTACGTTGTTCATGACTGCTCAGGGGTGGCCAGATGGTTGCCAGCAATTAATTACTGTGGTTTAATGAGTTCCCACTTATCATCTGACCTGTGATAGCTAAACATGTGCAGAGCTCCCTGCCCACAGCAACAGCAAGATAAGATGCATTAACACAGCACTGGTGAACAGTGAGCATCAAACCAGCAGTTCAGGAGATGGAGAAACTGGCCCCAGCACCTCCAGGCTTTTTAGTCTGACCTCAGAGGTAGGGAAACATTTCAAGCATCTTCCAGGAGGGGCTTTTCAGCATGGACCCCACTATAAAAGAATTAGAGAAAGAGAGGTTCCAATCTTAGATTCCCCAGGGGAGATTTTCAGTGGTATTTCTACTGAAACGTGTGAGCTTATAGGTGCTGGATGTAAGTGACCTTATTTAACACATCCTTCAAAGAGCCAGGGGTATGGTCAGGGAGGGCAGGATTCTGTCTGCAGCAGCTGTGTGCAGTTATCCCAGAGGAACAAAGGGTGGGAGGTGGCCAGGGAGGGAGGAGAGCTTGCTGAAGGGCAGCACTGGCCAGGAGCTAACATCAGCTGGGCTTTTTGGGCTAAATGCTCTCAATAGAGATGTTCAGGATAGCCTTTTGGTATGCCATGGACCCCACATAGTGCTGAGCTCAGTGCTTGACCCCTGTGTAAGAGATTCTGTTGTAGAAAATGAGTGAGAATTAATGATACAGGCTGTGGCAGTGAAAGGCTGGACACAGAGACCCAGATCCATCATCTGGTATTTGTGATGACCACCCCACGTGCCCCCTGCCCCTCAGTATCTTCCCACCACCAGGAAAATGGGATGGACTGCCAGGAAATTTGTGCCACTAAGCAGTAGCTCATTCCCTCTTTCCACAGCTCAGTAGGAATGGGAGAGCCTGTCCCCATTCCTATTTGTCTGATTGCATTCAGTTTCTACTATTTACCCTCAGTTTCAACAGGAAAGGTCTGCCCTTGCTCCTCAGAGAACAGCCAAAGGAAGGCGTGGGGTTTAGCTGAAGTAGGAGACCACACTGCTGGGTTTCTGCCTGTCTGGCAGGAATCTGGGTGGGTAGCACTGAGACCAAAATTTTTCATTTTCCTGGGTCAGATTCACCCCGGGTTTTGCCCTGGACATGAGCAGAGGTGTGGGTTTGGACCATCACTTCTGGTGACATGGTTTCTCATGGTTTTCCCCCTCATCTCCAGTGAGTGTGTGGCTGTGCTGGCTCAGGGACAGAAGTGTTTGGGGAAGGAAGGGCAGGAGGTGGAGATCAGGGTGGATGTGCCAGGCTCTGCCTGTCTGGGTAGAGAGTGGCACCTGGCCTTTGTGTTTGGCCATTATTGACTTGGCATGCAATGGGCAAAGCTGTGGTGAAGGGCCTGAGTGTCCCTGTGGCAGTGCTGGGAGGGGGATGCTGTGCTGGGTATCCTGCACAAGGCCCTGTGGAGCTCTGGAGCTTCCTGGTCCATCAGTTCCCTTCCTGAGCCTCGGGTGTTTCTCCCCTAAGGCCCACATGGGGCTGGTTCTGCTCATCCTTGACTGCAGTGCTTGGGGATGGAATGATGAAAGGCACGGCACAAGAGCTAGGAATTGTGTCATTTGTTTTGTCAAGCAAAAAGAGTAGAAAAACAAGGCAGCAAAGACAAAGCTAGGAAATACAGTGATAGATCATACCTCAGCAGATGTAAATCACCACAGCTCCATTGCCTTCAAAGACCAGGAACAGCTGTTGAGCACAGTTATGTCACTTTGCACCAGCTGAGGATCTACACTGGACAACTTTAAATATTGAATCTCAATGCTTTTGAGATAGTAAATGGGCAAAAGGAGAAAAGAGATTTGTATCTGATGTTAGAGTGGTACAGCTAATGTTCCTGGCTTTAAATGAATTACAATCTGAGAACTGCAAGCTGTAGCATTTTCTCCTGCTGTTTTGGACACTCTCCCATCCCTGTGGTGATTGATGCTGTGCTGGAAAACAAGTATGCAAGGAATTTGTTTGGTATGCTCCAGAGTTCATATGTCTTCATTGTAGGTAGTCCATATTGTGTCACGCCGTCCTTGAAAGCCCTGCAAAAGAGCTTACAATTAAATTTGAGACTGTGAAGCTGAAACACAACTGTCAGGTGCCAGATGGCATTTTGGAACAGAAGGATTTATTCTAGTTTACAAACAACAAAAGGAAAACTTTGCTGAGTTCTTGCAAACTCCCTTGCCCAAGGAGACTGTGAGGGAGAAAAGGGAGGGGAGCAGCCCACAAAGCACTGAGTGCTGCACCAGCTCCCCAGGGCTCAGAGCTCACCCAGGCAGGCTGATGGATTGGCAATTCCACCTGCTGTGCTCTGGGACTGGGATGCTCTCCCTGTGTCCTGGGGCACGGCTCTATTGGCTCCTCTTGGTGCACAGCTTAGGAGGAGCACCAAGGAGGAGCACCAAGGAGGAGCACCAAGAGGAGCACCAAGCCCCCCTGGGCTGCTCTGAGCCCACCCTGAGAGCTCTGTGGGTGCTGCAGCTGGAGCTCCCCAGCATCCCTTGGTGGCACTGAGCCATGCTCAGCTCTGTGGGTGCTGGCAGGAGCAAACTGAGGGGGGACACAGGGCTCCCCCAGCAGTGCCCAGGGTGACTCTGCAGATGGGGGCAGAGCCACAGGGCTCCCCAGGACCCAGCACAAGGCTCCCTCCTGCTCCCCTGCCCTTGGACAGGGTGGCCTCAGGCAGCACTTCCAAGGTCCCAGTCAGTAAAGCTGGCACAGCTCCCTGTGGGCAATTCAGAGTGAAGCATTGTCCTGCTTGCTCCAGGCACTGCCACCACCTGCCTCCCCTGCCCATCCCTTGGGAGGCTGTGCCAGCCCCACAGAGCTGCTGCTGTGCCCCACAGAGCACAGAGGGGATCTCAAGGGGTGCATTCAGCCCAAACTCACCCCAGCTCACAGCTGCAGGGTGCTGTGGTGTCACCAGGAGCTCTCTAGGGTGCTGGTTTGCTTTATTGGCCACGGCAGAGGCACCAGCTCCTGGGTGGGTCAGTGGGGTGATGCCATGAGGCTCCCTCATGTGTGGAGAGAAAAGGAAAAAAGTTTTGGAAATCCTTTAGAACCCTAAAACTTTACTATGTTCCAGTGACATTTCCTAAATGATTAAAAAAAAAAAAAAAGCATGCCTGAGAAAGATGAGGATCATCAAATCAAAGCAATTTAGCACTTCATGACAAGAAAGATTAGCCCTGCCCAATGCTCATCTTGGTTGAAAATGATTTAAATAAAGCTATAAATCTTCTGGAAATTATGCAACATTCTGTGTCAGCTGGAAGCTTCTGCCTGGATTGGTGTGTGCAAAATTCAGAAATTGAACTTGTGTTACTTTGTGAGTGACCCATTGGGGAGGTTCATTTCCACACACAGGCAGAGCAGGGAGGCAGCTGCTCCTGGGGCCCGTGTGTGACTGTCCCTGCCCTGCCCTGTCCCCTGTGCCCCCTACCAGGCTGGAGCCTGCCTTTGGGAGGGAGGGATGAGCCAGGACAGGGTCAGGAAGAGCCAGAGAGATCCTGGGCATGCCAAGGCCAGCCCCAGGCCTGGCTTAACCCCAGATCTCTGAGCCCTGGGATGTGTGGCCCCCCCAGAGCTGCCAAAGGGCCACTGAGGTTTGCAGGATCGATGGCTCCTGTGCACTCCCTGTGCTCCAGGGAGATTTTCAGGCTTGCTCTGGGATAAGAGTTTCAGAACTTGGGCATTTGTAAAGCAGACTGATCATCCTCTGTGGTTTTCTGCAGAGACAGGCAAGGTCTTGTATTGGCCCATCAGAGAATTCTGGAATTTAAAAAAAATCTTCTGAGGGCACAACAGCTGTCTGGGACTGACTGTATCCAGAGAGGGTGTCTTGGCTTCTTCTTTGATTTACTTTTATTTATTTGGCTTTATTACCTTTCCCTGTTGGAGGGCTGCCATTCTGGAAGCAGACCATCATTGTTTGAGATCAATCACATGGGCCTTGCAAATAGGAACCTGCTTTTCCAATGTCTGCTAAAGGGTTAATCCTCAGAGACAGGGATGGAACAAGTTCTTTTAAAAAATGGAAGGAGAGAAACAAGATTATTTCACATTTTTTGTCAGCTTTTCAACTCTGGCTGGATGGTGCCAGCCTTCTTACCCAGGGAAGGAAGGGAGGGAAATTGGGAGATCACCCCAAAGAGGCCTCAGCATCACCTTGTGTGACAGTGTTCACAGGGATGAGGCAAGAGATGAGAATGTTGACTCTATGTTCAGAAGGCTTGATTTATTATTTCATGATATATATATATATATTACATCATAGCTATACTAAAAATAAATAGAAGAAAAGGTTTCTTCAGAAGCTAGCTAAGAATAGAATAGAAAATAATGAATAACAAAGATCTGTAGCTCAGACAGAGAGAGAGCCAGCTCTGCTGTGACTGGTCAGTAAATCTAAACATCCACAGGAGACCAATCACAGATGCACCTGTTCCATTCCACAGCAGCAGATAACCATTGTTTACATTCAGCTTCTGAGGCCTCTCAGCTTCTCAGAAGAGAAAAAATCCTAAGAAAAGATTTTCACAAAAAGATGTCTGCGACAGCCTTGGACCTGTGTCCCCCAAGGAGGGAGATGTCTGGGTGGCCACACTGGGACAGGCAGGCAGTGAGCACTTTCTCTCTGTTCCACTTTGCAGCTGGATGGCCTCATGTGGTGGACCAGGCACAAAAAAGCACCTGCCATAATCCTGGCAAACAGTGAAGCAGCACAGACTGACCTGGAACAGAATGACAAGGACCTGGTGGAAGCTGCAGCTTCAGATGGCAAGGAGGAGGCAGGTAGGGCTCTGTCTGTGCACAAACACACTCAGGTGCCTGGGAGTGCACAGCCAGGACCCCATAAACATCCCCAAATTCATGAGGGGCCACCTGGTCCATTCTCTGGAGCTGGGGCTTGCATTTGCAGTTTTAAGGATGTGAGAAATGCAAGTGTTGGGGTTCTTGGTCCTCCCAACACACCTTGATGTCACATCCCTCTGAATGGCTCAGAAGAGCTGAGATACCTGAAAAAAAGAGCTCCAAAATAGCAGCACAGTCTGAGAGGACCAGGAGACCCTGGGAGCAGATGTGCACTTTGTGGATGCCCTACAATGAACCCACAGGCCTCACTTTTCTCATTTCCATGATGCCAACAGGATCTTTGCATCTTCCCTTAGGATGCAAGCCATGGTTAAAACTCAGACCTTAAATAGCTCTGTGTCCTACCAGAGGTATTTAATAGGAAGGAAAGCAGAGCAAAGTGAAATTAAGGAGTTGTCAGGGGACAGAACAGTAGCAGGAGTTGCTGCATAGGCTAGTTATTTTCAGAGTGGACAGAGCTTTACTCTGCAAATCTATTAAAAATGCAACTTTCTGGTTTTGAGCTTAACTTTTGAAGGTTACAGAGCAGGAACCTAAGAATAAAGACACAAACAATATTTCTTCACTTCTGCCATTTGCTGGTCAGTCCAAAGGACACTGGAACCAATCACAGCCAAGCTAAATGGAAGTGAACATCCAAACAAATCCTTTGATTTTTTCCTTCCCCAATAGAGTAAATCTGGGTTTAAGTTGAACGCAGTTATTCAGCCTTACTTCTTATTTCTTATCAATTCCTAGTTCACTTTACTAGCCCACGTTTTTATAAACAAATACCTTGGTATTTTGGTAATTAGCAGAAATGAGGAAGGAAATGTGAAACACAGCAGTTGACAGTTTAATGAGGGTTTTTTTTTTCTGGGTAACACCTTTTTTCAAGGCCCTATAACATCCTGTATTTCAAAAAAGGTTATATTTGGAAAGAACAGCAAGTGAAATACACACAGCAGAGGACTGAAAATTAAAACACACACTTCACCTGGCATGCCATGTGTAATAAACAAGCTGGGATATCTCTAAATGGACCATCATGCTGTCAGGAATTTTAAAAAGCAGAATGTGGGGTGGGGAGGAGGGGGAAGAGGTTTGGTAATTAACTAATGAGTGAGTGGTGCAATCAACTCACTGCAATCAGGCTGTGCTGTACATGGTCTAGAGAGAAGTTTTCCTTTTCCTTTTCCTTTTCCTTTTCCTTTTCCTTTTCCTTTTCCTTTTCCTTTTCCTTTTCCTTTTCCTTTTCCTTTTCCCCTTTTTCCCTTTTTCCTTTCTTTCTTCTCCTTCTCCTTCTTCTCCTCTTTTCCTTTTCCCTTTTCTTTCTTCTCCTTCTCCTGCTCCTTTTCCCCTTTTCCTTTTTCATTTTCGTTTTCCTTTCCCCTTCTTTCCATCCCCTTGCATCTCCCACACAAGGTCCCTCTCAAGCCCCACTCCAGACTGGCCAAGGCACCTCCAAAAAGCTGGGAGAAGGGAAGGAAGAGTCCCAGCAGATTCCAACAGGCAGGTTTTGGTCTCTTTCTTGCAGCAGCCAAACGTCCCTGGTGGAAAATGGTGTACATGTGGTTCTGTGGTCTGCCCACCAACCCCACGCCCACGCTGTCCCCGGAGGAGAGAGCAGCCCTGGAGCACAGGCTCACCAGCATCGAGGAGAAGCCCCAGTGGAAGATTGTGTGTGACATCAGTGCCATTCTCCTGATGGCCACCAACATCTTCCTCTGGGCATATTTTGGCTGAGCTGGGTCAGGACTGGCGTGGCTCTGGTTGCTCTCACCTTCCTGTCTAAGCTGGGAGCATCCATCAGGTGACAGAGCAGCACAGCCCTTCCCTGGAGGCACTGCTTGCTGGGAATGATTGTGGGGCTCAGCTTCTCCATGAGGGGGGACCAAAACTCAGCACTGGTCACAGCTGGGATGCAGGGGATGAATGGGATAGCATGTGGGACAAGTCAGGAGCACATTTCATGGGTAAGCTCTTCTGACTTCACTACTACTTTGAAGCACTGAAGTGAAACAAAAGGGAAAAGAATGATTGGGGAGGGGAAGTCTGAGAGGTTTGATTGAAATAAAGCAAAGTTGTCTCAAAACATCTTGACCTTTGCTTGTGTTTTCTAGGAAAACAATGTAATTAGCTAAAAAAAGAAATAAAATTAAAACCAAATCAATCAAAAAATGTAACTCCAGCTGAACAGGAGCTCTGTGCAGGCTGGTTGTGGCAGCAGGGGATGAGTTGTGGTGTCCTAACAAGAACACATTGCTCTCAGGCTGTAACCAATATCCAAGTGCATTGGCAGCAGATGTTATTAATGATGCCAATACATATTTTCTTATTAATCTTCCATACTAGGCTTGTGTCTGTCTGCAAATGATTATCATTCATTTTCCTGACAAATCTATCAAGATCATTTATTACTGTTCGGCAAAGGATCTTCTTTTAAACAAAGATTAATAACATTGCATTTTATCTGGCTGGCTGAGCCAAAGGAAATGAAATTAACAATGAGCCCTACAAACATGTCATCACTTTAATTTACCAGAAAATATTTTAAAATGTTATTTAAAAGAATATACGCTGTGGTGGGCACAGTTTATTACAAAGGAAAGGAATCAAACCACAGGCATTTCAGCAGGGTGGAGGGTAAGCAAACAGGGCACTGTGAATTCTCTGGCTCCTCACACTGGAGTTCTGGGACAAGGAGGGAGAGGCACACACAGCACCTTTGGCATGCACAGATGGGCACCTGCCCAGGGGAATTGCAGCTGGAGGTCCCTGTGCCTCAGTTAAAGTGGTCCTAACCAGGATCCCAGCTCTCCTGGGATTCCTGCAGGGAGCACTGCCTTCCCTGTGTTCCTGCAGAAGGGGAACTCCACCAGGGGAAAGCTGGAGAGGAGGGCACAGGTGGGCTGAGTGCCAGCGCCCCTCTGTACTTTTGCTCCCCAGGAGGAAAAGAAACAAATTCACTACATTTACATGGTTTAGTTTCCTTTCTTCTGCACTCTTGTCCAATTTTCCCCTCCCATCTTTTGATGGGAATAAAAAAAAAAAAATCAATAATAACAAATAAACAAATAACAAAATAAAAATAAAATACCAACAATATAAACAATAATAATAATAATAATAATAATAATAATAATAATAATAATAATAATAATAATAATAATAATAATAATAATAATAATAAATATACCTATTAGAAGGAACCTATCAGCATTCCCTTCCTACTGTTACTGGTACAGGTCTAAAATCCTTCCAGGGGAGCGGGGAGCCCTACAGACATCCAGTGGCTGTGAAATCCCACCCTTGGGGTCGTGTATCACAGCTGAAGCCACCTCCATGCCCTCCCTCCCTTGGTCTTACAGCAATCCCAGCACCTGTGTGTGTCCCTGTCCAGCACAGCTCACAGGGGTGACTGAAGCTGTCCCATCTGCCACAGGCTGGCACCAGCTGCCAGCACTGCCGCCCCAGCACAGCCCAAGATCTCACCAGCAGGAGCTGGAGTTCCAGGCAGTGCAGCATCACAGCCCTGCTGTCCAAGCAGGGCCAGATGGCACCACCATGCCAAGGACAACAAACAGTCACTATGTCCTCAGAGCCCGAAGCAAAGTCAGCCTCAGTGCTGAGTTGGTGCCATTTCTGATTCCCAGGAACAAGCTGTCCCCAAAAAAACTGCAGAGGGCACTTGAACAACTGTGAGCCACAGGGTGTCCCCCAAGGAGTCCCTGTGCCACAGGAGCAGGGTGGAACAGTGCAAAACAGGAACACCTGCACAAACAACACCCTGTTCCTGCTCTGCTGGACTGTGGTGGGGCTGCTTGACAACGCTGGGAACCAGGGATGGAGATCATTGGGAATGGCTCCTCTGCCCCTCTCTGGTTTAGACTAACCCAGCAACCTTTAATTCTTCATTTCTTTAATTCTTTATTTCTTTATTTCTGCAGGAAGGACCAGGGCAACCCAATAATTACTGCAGCATGTGTTCCAACCAGAAACTGTTGAAATTCTGTGACTTGCTCCTGTGGCTTCCACAAAAGCAGCATCCAGTTTAATATGTGAGACTCATAACCAGCTCACACAGTGCAATAGTTCACTTCAGTTTGAAGTAAAAAAATATTCTGCTGGAAGCACAGCAAGTAGCAGTGTCAATTTTTCATTAACCTACAGCCACTGTCTCTGTAGACTTACAGCTATGAGTAAGATTACTGTTATAATTTTTTCTGATCCCTAAGGGAAGAAGAAAAAAACTTTTCAAAACTTTTAAGGTCATTAAAAATCCACCTTTAAATTGGAGGTAGTTTCAGTTTACTCTCATATTTCAAAATCAAATCTGAGCTGCAGCCTCACATCAAAGCAGAAATGTCACTCGCTTTGTTTCTACTTCTGTGAAAGAACTTCCAGCTTATACACGAGTTGAATGCCAAGTAAATAGATTTTCCTGGGGAACAAAGGCAGCTTTCTTTTGTTTGTTTTAAACATATGTAAATAGAGTCCCAGGGGCTGAGCTGCCTGTCACTTCAACCAGGTTCACACTCATGTCACTCCAGCTGGTGATTTCTGACCGACCTCAGGTCAGGACTGCAGAAGTTTCCCTCCCCTCTCCTCCACAGCCACATCAAGCAGCTGCTCGTGCCCTTCCCCTCCAGCCTCACACCTCAGCAAAGGGGAGGCAGAGAAATAGGGATTCCTTTTTTTGCCAGTTTCTTATTCTTTTGGGTTTGGTTTTGTTTTTAAGCTGTAGTTACAGAATCACAGAAATACCCTGGTCCTCTGTCAAAGCCACTGTGGTGGTCCTGAAATCTCTGGGCAGAGCAGAGCAGTGCCTGGAGCCCCTGGATATGGCTGGGATGTGCCTACACACCAGCCATGGATCAAAGGCTGATGGCTCCCACTGGTTCATGGTCAGATGATGGGGAACAGGGAAGAAACAGGAATGGATTGGTAAGAAAAGTGACCTTTTTTTGGGTTTGTGTGTGTTTGCTTGAGCAGGAGGGCACCATCACTCTTGAGCTTCCTCTTTTCAATACCAGGCACTTAAAGAGTGGAGTGTGATCCTCACAGAGCCAGAAGACACCAGGGAGGAGCAGGACCCCTCCACCTGCTCCTGCTCCAGAGCTTGGTGCAAACAACACTGAGGGCAGGCTTTGATCTTTGTATGAGCCACACACTTCAGAGCTGGCCTCAATGGCTCTCGTGGGTCCCTTCCAGCTCAGAATATTCTGTGAAATCTACTCACTTTTTTTTTCTTTTTCTTTTTTTTTTTTAATTTAAACCAGCAGATCAATGCAAAATCGAGCACTTCACGCTTGTCATTTCCAAATGACTCTGGTTATATCTCAATCTTCAGTGAGGTTTTGGGTGTAAGACTGGGTAGCACTGAGGGATGCATCAATTTATAGGCTCTGCAAAAGCCGCAGTTAAGGAAAATCCTCAAATACATGAGAAACCTCAATTTTGATTGGCCACATTCCCATAACTTCTTGATAATTCAACTCACTCGAGTATTATTCAGTGTTTTCCTTCTCCCTGCTTTTTTTATCTCTTGACAAGTTTACAAAGAGAAGAATGGAGCCGAGCTGAGCTGCATTCCATCCAATCTGCTGCCTCCACAAACGGCAGAGAAGCTAAATGAAGCCCAGAACATATGGCACTGTGCTGACAGAGCTCCCAAACTGGTTCTGCATGAGCAACAAGGAACATCTTGAAACGCACAAGACATATGTGTTTTAGGAAGAAGATTGAAGTGTTTCATAATAAAACAGGACAAAGTGAAATACAAGTGCAGTATAAAATTTTAATTAAAAACTGGTTTTACCCCTCGACGTGAATATACAATATGTTTCCCAGATGGATTTCATATTTAAGTATTATCCAAACCAGAAACATAAATGAGACAAATAAAGCCTTCAAAAATGGCACAGAGGCTAAAATGTGTGTAAACACTAGATGACTGTGGTGAAAACAAGGCAGGCAGGGAAAGCAACCTCTTAGCAAGTGTTTACTACTGGAATCCTGAATGAAACAGTTCCTACAGCTACAGTCAGGGTGACAATACAAATACAAGCATTAGAATTCACCACCACTCAGTGATGTAAATGGTGCTTTTCTTACTCAGGAGCTGTCCAGGCTATTTCCTACACTGATAACTCATGGTATAGAAGTGCATAATTCATGGCATGCCACTCTCCTTGTCTGCCTTGCTCCCAGGCTCCTACCCTGCTCTGTGTGAAGCTCTCTTCATTCCATGCCATCAGCTCCACAGGGGTGTGCAAAGGCCTGGCCACAGAACAGAACCTTTGTGCTGTCTCCTCAGGATCAGTAAATCCTCATGAACCAGGAGGGATGTTGTTTTGCAGCAGCAAACTCCCTTCCCCGAGGAGGTGAGAAGGTGGCTCAGATCCCACTGCTCAGGCTGCAGGAGTTCTCTGCTGGACCAGAGGCAATCACCCAGAATTGAAGGGAAATGCACACCAAGAAAAAGCACAATCTCCACATGGATCAAGCAAAGAGAAAGATTACAGTTCCTTTATGCTGCCATCCAGACAAATTATCACCACACTTCAGAGAATTTCTCACAAAGATAAAATGGGAACAAACCCCATGCCTTTGGCAAGCCAACACTGATAAAAGGAGCTACAGCCACATCTTTGAAGGGCTTTGGTTGATGATGTTTTGAATTCCATGGGGGAAAGCATCAGAAGCCAACAGTAATCAAGGAGGCTTCTGCTTAACAGCTCCTGTGCAATGGAAACAGGAATATTGGGGGCTTCAATCACTTCCCACAAGGCTGCTGCATTTGTTGGGACTGAAAGGAACTGGGCAAAGAGCAATTCCCTGCTGCTCCCAGAGACATCACCCAAGGCAGACACCCCTTCTGTCAGGGAGGCAGCTCATCAGGATCAGCCCTAGAAGTGCTGTCCTCTCTCAGCTTCAAGTGTTCTCACTGGAACCAAGAGGCACAATTTCATTGATTTGAGTTTCCTCAAATTCCTTGATTACCAAACAAATTCTCAGCATCCTGATAATGATCACTTCATGACCACTGAAGTAATTAACACCATGGCCTTTCCTGTGACCCAGAGATTCCACATTACCAGATTTATGCAGCAAGAGACCACTGCTAAAAGGCTGAGAATTTTCTTGCATAGTTCAGTGTTTCAGAAAACATTTCAAGCTTAAAAATCGGGAAGAGCAGAATTATGTACCAAATTATTCCTCATACATGGAGTGGGAAGGCAGAGATTCCTTCCAGCTTTCCCTGACAAACCCATGGCACATTGCACCCTTTGTTCCTGGGGAGAGGATGAGGATAAACGATGTGAGAGATGTTAACAGTGCTGGTTAGTACACAGAGCAAACAGCACTAAGGCATCAGGATGAAAAACATAATTTATATTTAAAAAAAGATAAAAAAAGGTATCATAAGAGCAATCAGTGTGAGGATATGAACCTGGATCATGCAGGAGACAGAAGCTGAGCAAGATACCAACTGCAAAGATTAGCTCCTAAGAGCACATGTAGTAAAGCAGTTCATTATCTTTTCTAGCCCTCTCTGATCAAGATAGAAATCTATTAAATCTGATTAAGATTTGTTTAATAATTGTCTGATTAAAACATAATAAACCTGGGAAAATTAAAATAAAGCCTTTTTAGTAACCTGGAGATGAGATGGGACTTTTCAGCCAGGCTTCCATAAAATAATTTCTTTAACATTCACCTCAGGATCCCACAGCACTTCACAGTCATTTAATTAAGCTTCAACAGAGCACAAACTCCCCATTTTACAGCTGAGGTAACAATGAGAAGGAGTTTGGAAAAGACTATTTAATACTGAGCAGAGCTAAATGTTCTGTTATTTTACCCCAAAAATAGATTCTGAACATCTCCAGGTAGATTTTTTTCTCCCCTGATAATTTTGGCAGCCTCTGAAGTAATAGTAAAATTCAAACATGTGATGCACAGTCTAAAGAACAGCCCTCATCACTTCCCAAGCTGCTCAGCTTTGGAGCATAAAGACAGCTCCCCATCCATCTTACAAAGCTGCTCCTACCTGTTCCCATTACTCCAGCCATCCCTAGGTTTCTTATCCTCAGTGGAGCAATTTAAGCTTCTCTTCCTCTAAGTCAAAAACTTAGATAAGGCAAATCATTAAAGAGTTTGACATTTTTGCCTTTAATTCACATCAGGTCAATGACTTAGTGATTTCCAAAGCAGCTACTGTCAGCCAAGGATGGATTTGCATTTCTCCTGAACACAGGCAGGCAGTTTGTCTAAAGCCAGCCCAAGATCCTAAACTGCACCAAGTTATTCATAGGAGAGATGGAAGGGAGCAAGTAGGAAGCAGAGTCTGACTCACTAAACTGAAAGTGATTAAAATATTGCACTGATTGCATCCTGCAAGCATCACTGGATGCTGAACAGCTTTTGGTGAGAACACCCGTGGGTTATAATAACTTGGGGAGGGCAGGAGAGACACAGACTCCATAGAAAAGCACCAATTCACTCCTCATCTGGCCCATTATTGCCAGATTTGAGTAGGCAGCTTTCCTTTAGGAGCTAAAACAACAGGGGTGGAATTATGCCATCCCACTGTCACTGGAACTTTGAGGATGGCGAAAGATAAGGAAGGAGCACAGCAAATGCTATTTAAAGCTCCACTCAGGCACCTAGAAATTTGCATTTGATAGAAGGGATTTAAATTGTATTAGAAGGCAAGGTGCAGTAAACAATTCGAGCTTATTGCTGTGTTGGTTCAGTGCCTGAACCTCCACTGCTCCCGGGCTGCAGGGGCAGAGCAGCAGCCATGCTCAGAGCTGGGAGGGCTGGCAGGGCCACCTGAGCAAACAGGGAAAGGGAAAATGCCTCTGAAAACAAAGTGCCTCGAAGATACTAGGGACAGATCAGAGTAATTTGGGCCCAAAGTCACATTCCAGAGGAAAGTTTTCCATTTGCCAAACTGGATTTCCAGCACAGTGCTCGGAAGAGAGCACTCTTTGCTGTACCACAGTGTGAGCTGTGGAATAACTGACCCAGGAGAGGAACATCTCCTGCAGCAGCTGATTCAGAGAGACACTGAACACACATCTCCCTCCCAGCTGGAGCAGGGCCAGAGGTACTCAGTCTGTCTGCTCCATTTGATGTTATGTTGCAGAAGAAGGCTACACTGAGAATATTCATACTGCTCAAAATTCAATAATGACATTTTTTTTCTCCCATCCAGTTTTCACCTTTGCTGAAAAATTTTTAATCTTTGATGAGAACTGAAGGTTGCCATATTACCATATGCTTCCTTTTTTTAGCTAGGGGAATCAAACAGATATCCTCCAACCATTCCTTGGACCCTTTGAAAGCACCACCTTGCTTTCTTACAGTGGCTCCCAACCTTTCTCATCCCCTTGTGTATTCAGTTCATGGCAAATTGTGTCCTTCATCCAACATACAGAAAACTCCACAACAATCCCTCAGCATTTAGGCCTTCTCACACAGTGAACAAACAGGGACTGAAATCTGCTGGATTACTGGGGAGGGAAAAATCAAAGAGGTTTTCTATGTCAGGGAGCCAGATGAGGCCAAAGGGGAGCAGCCAATGTTCAGAAGACTAACTTTTACTCAGCTGTGACACTGGGGAGGCAATGCACAGAGAATATTGAATGAAAACTGCATCTTATGGCTCAAACACATAGAGGAAGCTGCAAAACCCTTCAGGATTCAACAGATTAATTTTACACCAAAAGCTTAGAAAGTATTTCTCAGAATCTGCCCCACCTACTTAGGATCTACTTCAATACAGCTACTCCTCTGGGCAGGAAGAAAACTATTCCTTTGTGGACAAACGTGGGGTCACTGGAGAGGGCAGTGAACACCACCACATCCTGGTAGCACAACCCTCCATGGCCTCCATGCCCCCAGGGACACAGCTTGGGCAAATTCTACTTTTCCCTTCTGCAACAAAAAGTGTCCTGGTACTTCACAGAGTGACTCAGCATGTCATGAGAGGGTGCCACTAATTCCCTCTGAAAGCACTAATGTGCTAAATGGCAGCAGGGACAGGAAGTTATCAGTGTTAATCCACTTCAACTTGTCCAACAGTTACAAGAAATAGAAATGTCTGTATGTGAGACACTTCCTCTGAGAGTGCCCTTGCCTGAAACAGCAGCACACAGCCCCTCCACGTGCTCTCCCACCAGCAGAATTGCTCACCAACTGCTTTCTCAAATCAATTATGTTGTCTCAGCATTAAAGGAGGGAAGGCAGAATAGACTGGCTTTTTGTTTATGTAGGCATGCTGGCAGGTTCCAGTCATATGTTGTGCCATCTGTACTGCTAGCTTTATCCTCTCTCTCATCACAACAGGTAAAATGGCATCGGTGGAGCTGCCTGTGTTTGCTCAGAGAGGGAGGCAGCCAGAACAGGCATTTGTTTTTTCCTCATTCTGGGGGGAAGCAGGAGATGGACACTCTTGCCCTTTTAAAACATTCAGCTTTTCAATGGATGGGCAATTTGCCCTGGTCTGCTAATGTGGGATCTGCTCAGTGCAAGGCTGAAAAGGTTCCATCCCTGGGGAAAGCATCGAACTGCTGATGAACATTTGGTGGCCTTTAGCAAAAACGAAGTGATTGCTGCCAACAGGATCCCAGCAGACCGGGAAGGACAGGCTCCAAATTAGGTGGGATTGTGATGCAGGAATTTCAGAAGGCCTGTACAGAACACAGGGAGCTTGCTGACTAGCTCTGGTCTTTCCCCCTGCACAGTCCTTTCTTATTCATATTTTTAAAATGACAAGTGTATTGGCAAATGTCATGGCTGCATTTAGGAGAACATGGAAGCTTTCAAATGCAAAGGCTGTGTGAAGATGACCTTTCATCTCACACAAAGGCTGCTGGGCTGGGTGGTTTTCATTTAGAATCTCATAGTATTAGAACACTTGTGACTAAAGGTGCTCAAAACTACTTAAAATACATGCCAATGGGTCCTACAGTACCAAAGTTTGTGCCATTCTCCAAAATAATTCAATTGTCTAGAAAACAATTCTCTTTGTCCTAGGTGGGTCATTTTTAAACCAGCACTCACATTCAACTTCCCCTTTGGGTCTCCCCTCTGCCCACCAGGACATGTTGCTTCTTCAACCAATTCTCTTAAAGTTGCTAAATAGATTTAGATATTTAATAGATTTAGAGAACTGGCTGCAGCTGAAACCTGAGTTGATGTCACAAAGGGATGTCCAGCAGACCTATTAGTCTTCAAATGACTCTGTGTTCAGAGTCTCAAAGGAGCAACACCATCTTGCTTAATTGTAGAGGGGATTTTTTGTTAGGGATTATTGTTTCTTTTTTTTGGGAATGAAATGTTAATTATTTCCTTTTTTCAGCCCAGGCCAAATCCCCATTTCTCCAAAACCCTGCTTAACCATAAGACAGCTTAAAAAATAGAATACAAATATTGTTGTATAAAAATAGGTTTAGTTTCAAATACTATATACTGTGTATTTTCAGGTGAGTTGCTTTCAGGAATGTGTTTTGTGGTCTGAAACAGCACCAGCAGTTTTTTCATACATCTCTCTATATATTTTTGCAAGACTCTCCTCCAAGATTGCTCTGTGAGGCTTCTCTTTGTACACAGCTGCAGGACCAGGCCAATGTTCACCACTATCCAAGTGAACAGGAGTGCTCTGCTGCACTGGAGAACTGTCAGAGGAAAGAAGATAAGAAACAATGATCAAACCAAGATATGGAAGAGGAATCAGTGGCACAAAACCAGCAGAAATACCAATGTTAGCTGCTTAGCACAGATTGCCTTCCACAAACCAAAATTAAAACTGCACTGCAGCTACTTTTAAGAAATGAGAACCACCCCCTCCATGTTATTCATTCACACAAATCCTCCCCCACTTATCTGAGTACACTTTGTAATGCCCCCAAATAGAATTAATTTTCAGAGAACCTGCAGGAACTTTGCTGTATTTTTGCAGGCTGTGTGACTAGGCAAGAGCAACACAGTAGGATTTTTGTGTCCTTTGAAGGTGAAATTGTAACCACAAGCAGCTATTTCAATATGAAGACAATCTATCAGGGGGACATTAAATTACTGTGGTTGCAGCTGTAAAGTGCTGTATTGGAAGCATCATGGATTAAGTTTTCGACCAACTGCATTTTGATATAGTGGCAATCCAGGGTTCCTTCCCCACCCCATCTTCTGTGTCGCTGTTTTAATACTAAACACAAATACAGGCTCATCTTTCAGTTGCTTTGAGAAATTATTCCTGAGATCTATGAAGTGAAATTCATACTCTGCAAATCATTACAAAACACTGACAAGTCTGAGTAGTTTATATCTCAACATCATGACTATCTGCTTCCTCTTGACACTTTCAAAACAAAGGTTTGTGTCATATAATTAAATGAGCAATTTCCCTGTAATAAAGCATGAAACAAGAAGCTCAAAAATCATCAGAAAAAAATTACAACTGAGATGACATTTTTCACATCTGCTCAGAGATTTAGGCACTTAAGACACTTAAAAATTAGGACTGAGTAATCTTCAGCTTTTGCAAATGTTCTCTGGGAAATGAAACTGGAAATGTGAAGTTTAAGGTGACCATCTTCACTTAGGAAATGGATTACATTTCACAGAGAAGCTTTACAGCTTCTTATATGCACGTCATTTATTAATGGTAGTGTCTTCTGCAATCAAACCAGTACTTAAAACTTCATCCTCAAGCTACTATCAGCCAACATATGACAAAATTGAAAGAAACCTTAGGCCACATCCATGAATACATGTATTCATCTGCATCAAAACACCAGGTTTTCATCTGAAGAACAGAAAAGGGGAAGAAGAGGAAGATGTAGGATCGGTTTTCTAAATTCACATCTCTAAGCTTCTACTGTCCCATGGAAAAAAAAAAAAAAAAACAACAGAAGGATCAGCTTTTGCTTTTAAACTTCTTACATTCAAATATTAGGGTGATGCCAACCTACACCAAATAAAGTAAGACCTCTTGTATGGCTCTAACATTAAAAAGAGAGGAAGGCCACGTTCACACTTATTCAAAAAGGCTCCATCATTTAAAGTCAGTCAATGGCATGAAGCAAATTTAAACTTGTTTATCATCCTGAGATAATTGTGCCTCACAGTTTGGACACAAAGAAACCAACCTACCAACCAAAATCAATAGAGCAGCTATACAGGCCTGTGTCAAATGCAGACAAGTCAACACCCTGGGGACTCATCAACAACTGCAGTTTCACTTTCTCCTTCCTGCAGTTTGTGGTACCTCACTTCTGATGGAGAATTCTCAGGCCAACAAGCAGGCACAGCACTTGTAACTATACAACAAACAGCTCTAACACTCTTTTCCTCGGAATCCATTTCCAGCAGCATCTTTGTGCTTGCCCTTTCTTCTCCTAAAAGCTGAATTTACTCAAACCCCAACACTTTAATTGCAGTAAAGACTCAAAAACCAACAGCAACTTCTACAAGTTCCTTATTCTGGTACTGAAAAAGTCTTGTAAAAAGGCCTAATTATCCCTTCTCTTTTTGGAGGAGGCATTTCCATTAGCCAGCCACTTGTGCATGAGACACCTGGACAAAGCTACAGCCAAGGTAGGGAAGATTCCCCCTCCTGTCTCAACTGGAAACCAGCTGACAACCTGAGCTAAGCAATCTGGGAATTACACTCACAAATCATATTAACAGCAGGATTTCTGCACGCAACTCCCTGCCCTGAAATACCTGTCATATGCTTTTGTTCCCTCATACATCTCCTTTAAGAGTCCCAGAAGTTCTTTTCTGAGTGAATCATATACTAAATATTTCACAAAACACAGACCTTTTCCTTACTCCCAGCGGTTTTCAATCATCCATCTACTTTACTGCCAGCATTTGGTCGACAGTACCCTGTCCTTCCATGAACTCTGTCTCTGTCCTTGTGTGCTGTTTATGAGCACTGTGGCAAGCACTCAGCAATGTGACTGTCCTCGAGGCCTTAATGTCTCACCCCCTGTGCTGCTGGCCTCTAAAGCAAGGAGCAGTCCTTTCCCAACCCGAGTGCCACACTTCATATCCCATCCCTTCAGGATTCTGGAGGATTAAGGTTTATTTTCCATTTTTTTTCATGGTCTGCTGTTTCAGCGTAAATCTCCAAGTCCCAAAGCTGCCTCAAAACAAAAACTTGCACTTTCTCTCTCACAAACACATCCTAAACAATTTAATTGCCCCAGCTGTCAGGACAAAGGATAAGGGAGCAGAAAGGCTACACAGAATACAGGAGTGAGCACAGTACAGCAGACACAACTGCAGCAGCAACTTTACAACCATATGGAAGTTGGAGTAATCCCTTGCACGGAGGGGATTACAAACCACAGCGATTTTTAAAGAAGTCAGCAAATCAGAAATGAACTTTTTGGAGCTTATAAATTTCAAGAAGAAGTTTGTTATGGTACCCATATAGAAATACCCTCCTTTCAGGTGTAGACAGTGGTGATTAGGGGTGCCATTGTTAGAAAACAGTGTGTGATACTTAACTACCAAAATAAAGCCTTTTCTAATGGCAACACCTCTCAAATATAGCACCATAGTTCTAGGACTTCTCCTTTAATATAAAGAAAACCAGAAAAGCCATAGGAGCCCAAAAAAGACTTCTAATACTTAGTATCTTTCCTCCAATAGGTACTCAAAACATTGTACAAAATACTGTGTGCATACACATAGAACATCAGTATTGGTAACTTCTACTACAGAAGTAATCAAAACCAATGTAATTGGTATCTTATAAGTAAATTATCAAATTAAACCCTGGTCATGTAAGTGAGGAGCACACAGAGTAATTAATGTACATAAACCAGGTTTATAAGATCTCAGGTTTCCAAGAAAGCTTCTGAAATACAGCATGCTGAATCACTAAACTATACCATATAAATTTGCTGTATTTTTTGGAAAATGCTTTTCTTTTCCAAATATCTGTTTTGCCAAAAAAAAAACAAACAAACCCAAAAAAAGGACAATCCAAAAACTGAGCCTCAAACCATATTACTATATAAACTTAAATTTATTTTTGCACTCCCATAGTTTTAAAGGAAAAATAACCAAGTGATTATTTTAAAAGTGACATTTGCCCTCTGGTTGACAAATTCCAAAAACGTCTGCCCAAGAATCATTTTTATAGCCAAGTCCAGTTCCAAACCCAGTGTTTTATGAAGACTATACTGACACAGTGCCAAAGGACATCAAAGGCACAATAATTTAACTGTATTTTGCTTTTAGGTGAGAAAGCTTAGTATGAGTAACACCTCCTGAAACCTTTTCCCTGTCCAATACAGGACAAAGCTCAAAATGGGAAGAGAAATTTGTAGCTAAATGTAAAGGGCAATATTGAGTATGATTGTTTTGTCTTGGTCAGAAAAAAACTCCATACCTGCTCCGCAGCTCACTCACAGTCAAGGGCTTATTATCTGTAGGTTCTCTTGTCTGAGGCAAATCATCCTAAAAAAACCCAGAAATCAAATTCTCATTACCTTGGTTTCTGATTACAATGATCTCATTTCAAAAATACTTTCTTTCCATTTAGAGGACTATTAAAGTGCTTACATTTCTTGGGGGAGAAAGGGACAAAGTGTAATGAGCCAAATGCCATTTATGAACACTTTTAATTAAGTTCACTACAATTCAGCTAATAATTTTCAGGTAATAAACTGGAAAGAATTTCTAGACAGTGTAGATCTAGAGAACTATGCAGACAGCAAAAGCTTCAATAAACCCCAATAAACACATTGGCAAAATGCTATGGAACATACTACTTACTGCTTTTGTGTTCCTTGCAGGAAAGGGGGAAAAAAACACCTAAAACTTATGTTATCTATTTCATGTGTTTTACAAGGCAGAAGCATTGCACACACCTCAATTCTTGAATTTCATATCCAAGGTTGAATACATGCTTACTGAACTTTAAAAAATATCTGATGCACTTAATGACCCTTCAGTCAGGTATTCTCAGTTGCTAGAATGCAGTTTTACCTTCCAAATGCTATCTAGACATTAATTAACCCAAATTTGCCCTCTTAAGTAAGAAAGAAAGAAAACACCCATGTGGAGGGAGCCAGCTGCTCACCTGAGATGGGATGGTAGAAATTCCAGCACACACAATCATGTTCACTCTACTCTGAAGAGCAAAGACCCTACTTAAGGGGTGATATTAAGTGATGCTTTCAGCACAAGTCAATTGCTGTAAGGACTACTAAACAAAGTCATCTTTCATGCTATAGGAGAAATAATTGGAAAAAAAGACTGCAGTAAAAATAATCACACTTGCTGGTAACACAGAACTGGGAGAAAAGACAAGAAATATAGTGGTAGATGGCAATAAGATGCAGAGCAAGCTGAACAGCAGCATATGGATGAGGAAAAACCTGAGAGAATTTATTGTGGTGAAATACAAGGTAATAAGTGTGTTTGTAAACAGGAGAGCTCTCTTCCTCCAGCAGTCACAGACTACAAAGCACTGAAGAGGAAATGGGGTACAGTGGTAAATAAAATTCTGCAGCATTTGCCAGAGGCAAATTATGATCTGGAAAGCAAAAAAAAAGATGGAAACATTACAATACTGTCACAATGTCACAGCAGAAGGGTACAGTGGACACCCCAAGGAATCTGCAGCAGAGCTCCAGTCACACTATTTTGCAGAGCATTATGAAAAAGAAATTTTGGAAGACACAGCTGTATGCTTCTGGGAATGGTTATTTAGTATTAGGCTCTTTGGAGTGAAACAGAATAAGAGGTACTTTTTAACCTTTCCAAGTTTGAAGAGGATCTAGATTGGAGCCAGAATGTGCTCACCACATTGCTTTACTACTCCCTCACTTTCAAGATGACCAATTTACCTCAGCCATCTGCTGAGCCATACCACAGCCTCAATTTTGGGCCATGTGGGGAAGCACAACCTGTCTTGGTGAATTTTAAAGCATTCACTGCAAGGATATTTTTTTTCTTTTTTGATTAGGTCAGCTGCTGTTAGCACAGCTTTCATGAGCCAGCTCTACACAACTATCTGACACCACAAGACTTCTCTGTAGCATCCTTCCCTTCCTTTTGCTCAGTGGAAGGAAACAGAATGAGAAAAATGGTCCTTTGCCAGCACTGGCTTGATCAGGTGGGTAATTAAATACCCTAATAGCTGGATTTTTTAGGGCAGAAACACAAGGTTTTCCAACAGAAGAGGACACAGTATCATCTCTGCTTATTAATCCCTGTGAGGATTCAGCAAGTGTTTGATTCTGGAAATCACAAGGTGAACCAAGAGAGCGCCAGCAGAAAATATCACAATTCAAGAATTCCAGCACAATGTTTACAGAGTCTTTTTGACTGTATGGAGAGACCATATAACCAATCATCCAACCCTCCTTATCATAAAGTCATGGTCTACTGTTTGAGAAAAGCAGTCAAGAATCACTGCAGATGGTTCAGGCTGTGCAAGTGTTCATTACATGTAGGTGTTGGACTATCAGGAAATCCAGTTTGTTATCTTAACTTCATTGAAACATCAGGGGAGCATTTGACATGATTTGTACCTATTCTGAGTGGCTGAAACACAGAAAAATGTCATGGGAATCTTCTATTTGAGAGGCAGCAGCTCACAAAATCATAACATTCATATAATAACTCAGGGAGGTACAGCATGAACTAGATCAAACTGTCTTAGTATGGATGAGACAAGGTTTTTCTGAGTTAAAAACAAAACCCACAACAACTAAGCTAAACATGAACATTGAACAGAAATGAGAAAAGAATCAGATTAAGTGAGAATGAGGTAAGACACTGAGCTGCCCAACATGACTAAATCTGGGGACATGAATAAACAAACAAGCAAACAACTAAATAAATAAATAAGGGCTTCAGAGTGATGTTCTTCAATCCATCTTGCAGGACTGGATCAAGACAACAAAGATCACTTCTGCCATGGGCTTCCTGTAGCCAGTGGAGTCCCCCATCCCAGGCAGCTGCACCTGCTCTTGCTGTGGGAAATGTGAGGGGGGACATCAGGGCACCATCTCACACTTTCTATCCCACTTCCCACTGATACAGGGAACTACAGCTGAGGGGAAAGGTGGACAGCTGGGGACAGTAGCAACTTAAAATTGCACCAACATTCAAAAGCAGATTTCTGTCAACATTCTATTTTCTAAGAGAGAAACTGAAGCAAAAAAAAGATGCCTTTCTCCACTTTGGGAGACTTATGCCTCTTCTACCCCATCAATAACATTTCTGAGTTAGAATGCCAGAGCTCCTCATCATCTTATATCATAATCATCATTATCATCATTGTATCATAATCATCTCTCATCCTTACAACCTTTTTATCCTACCTTTCTTTTGCCTCACCTCACACTCAAGATTCTAAATTCTCTGCAGATGAACAATCTTCTTATTCAGCTGGTACAATGCTCCAGCATTTTTTTGAGAAACTATGTTTCTCAAAATCACAATAGGAAAAAATTTGTCTGTCGAAAACCACACCTCAAAATTTCATCAAAGGTAAAATACTCTGTTCCTGGGTGTAATCTCATTAGATAAAGAGCTCTGTTCATTGAAAGCCAGGTAATTAAGGGAAAAAAAATCACACATCTGAAGAATAATATTAGCTCTAGAAACAGCTGGATACATGCAGCTGCTGATGTGCAGCTGCACAACATGTTAAACCTTGATGTTCCACACATCTGTAACATCTTTTGCTTAAATTGGGAGCGGAGAATCAAAATATAAAAAATCCCACGCTCCAATATAGTTGTTCTCAGTGAGCCATGAGAGGGTTGCCTGTACTACTTCATCAAGGTGAAAGATAAGGAGGCTTCTGAAATCAGTGTGAAACAGTTGAGCTCACACACCAAACCCATATTTCTACAATCAAGGCTGTCCCAAAGGACAACATTATAATAAATCCAAGACTGTAGGCACAGTTCTCTTTTTCAGCCATTTTGGAGAAAAGATTGAGTTTGCAGTCAAACTTACAAATATGAGGCGCTGTCTAGCTCTGTGTGTCCTTAAAATATTTTTCACTCTTTTATGGATCTCATCAATATTTGCTGGTGAAGGCCAACCAGTGCCAAATCTGCAAGAGGAAGAGGAAAAACAAAGTGAAGAAATATTTTCTTGTTGAAAAACTCTGTGATACAGATTTCTTTTTCCTTTTAATTATGAAGCATGCATTACCTTCTTCTATTTGGAACACACACAATGTTTCGATTTGATTCTTCTCCTCTGGAGTACAAGTAAAGAAAAGCAGTGCATAAACAGTGCATAAACATTAACAGCCACAACAGCAACAGAAGATGAAAAACATAGAAAATGTTGGTGATTTTGTAACTTGAGAAATATTTCTGTAATGTTTGTGTGGTCCCTACAGAATAAAAAAGCTATACTATTCCCAGTGATCAGGTTTCATTTGCCTCTTTAAAGGAAGTATTGCACACATGAAGTTCTTTTCACTGGAATCAATCAAAAGGAAGGTAACCCCAATGCATGCAAATTGGAAAACACATGGAGTAAAAAACTTGCAATTGTAGTCTTTATTTCATGAGAGGAACTGCATTTTAAGTTTGGGTTTGTTTTTTTTTTTGTTTGTTTTGGTTTTTTTTTGTTGTTGTTGTTGTTGTTTTTGTTTTTTTTTTTTTTTTTTTTTTTTTTAATATTGAAAACTAGGTAGCTGCTTGGTACGGGTAATTTAAACCAAACAGCTACTTTTTGGATTTTACCTTGTTATGTTTTGGATTATTTTTTTCCACTTTACTAAAAAAAGCCCTTCTCATCCTTCTCAGAAGCTCATCCTTCTGAGCAAGTTCAGAAGCTGACAGAAATTTCATATCAATAATTATCCTCAGTCTCTTAAGGGAGGCAACAAAGATTTTGAGAATATGATTGTTTACATGCCAACCATATTATTACATTAAAAATGTAATTTTTTTTAAAAAGAGACATCAACAGAAGGAAAGCATAATTGGAGGGGAGTTATGAAATGCTTACTTACACAAGCTCATCACACTGCAAAGAGACAGAGCACTAAATGAAGATTGTGCATCTTCATTTCAATGTTGCCTAAGCTCTGAGAGCTTGACTTGGCACCCAGAAAAGCCCAGCTCCTGATGTGGGATCATGCCAATGTGAGCACGGCAGAGCAGGCACTGCAATCTCAGCTGTGAACGGAGCTGCCATCCTTGCCTGCAGCAGGAGCACCAGGAACACCAAAGGGCTTTGCTGGCTTCCCAAATTTGATGCAGTGGAGAATCAGCATGACTCTGGAGGCTGAGATTCCACAGTTTGCTCTGTGCAGGGACTGGGAGTGCCAGCTTTCCTGCCCTCCTCTCTCCCAGTTATCACATTCCCTGCATTATCCAGTCTATCACTCTCAAATCCCCAGTCTGATCGCGCCTAGTGCAGTTCACCTTCACCAAACCTCTAGAAATTTCAATACAGCCAAGGAACTGCTCAGCTCCTTTCAAAAAGAACAAACCAAGTACACAGAGAAAGCTTCAGTGCAAAACAAGCAGCCTGGCAATGTAAAAATTAATGGAAGCAGGATCCCAAAAGTGGGATGTGACAGATTATCTTGAAGGTTGCAGGCAGGGCATAGAGTTCTTTGCAATCTTTTGGATCATTCCTTTTATTACCAGAGACAGAGACTGAAGTATAACTAAAAAGAGACCAGTTTTCTGCTTTTGAGTAATCTTCTTCTATGTTCTTTTGTCTAAGCAACTTATTTGGATTCACTTACTGTTGTTTGTATGTCCAAAATATCTCTCTTGGTTCTAAACAGCACCAGTATTTTCAGCTTATTTATGAGTTTCTTTAAATCAATTAATCTACTTGAAAATGCTTCTATTTTTTTTTCAGGAAAGGGTGCCAAGAAATGACACAATATTGGAAGTATATAACATATAATCTATATGGGGATGCATTCCCATGTTTCTAATGATTTTATTGCTATTTATCCTTGGATCACGACAAGCAGCAATTTTCACCAAGCTGACTACAGAATTCAAATGACTGTCCTGAGAAATTTACAATTAATTCCAAACCCAAGAGCATGTATGGCAAATTCATGCTGTGCAATTGTTTTGCATACTAGAATCCAGCAATCTGTTGCACTAAAAGATTTCACCTAACTTCTTCTAAAAGAAAGTAAAATGGCTTGAGAATTTTGTTAGGGGAGAAAAGCATTGCCTTTAAAGAAACAGAAGTGTGAGTCCCTTAAGCAGAAAGGAATGTTCATTTCCCTAATGCAGTCAAACCCCATTTGATGTACTGCATTACAATGCATGTGCTCTATCACCTGTGTTTTGAAAAAAAACCCCACACTTTCTTTTTTTAAAAGAAGAGAGGTAAGGGAAAGGATCTGCAGTGATACTATCATCTTATGGCTTCCCATTAGAATTTACAACATTTACTGATATTAAAGGACCTCTGAAATGCATGTTTAAAAATCTGCATCCTAGATGCAGTAAGAGTGAGTCATTTCCCACTTGACAAATAAAAGATAGAGCCATGAAGTCATGGCATTTTTCCTTATTTATACAGCAGCTGCTGTTCTTCCAGCACTCAGGTGGCTTGCTCTGAGAAGTTGGAATAGATTGCCTTTGGGAAATAAATTTTATGAAATTCGTATGTAAGACTTCAGGTCATTGTTATTAATCGTAAATTTACAAATATCCTTGGAGATAAATGTATTTACTTTTGGGAAAAAAAGAGAAAACCCAGCTTGCTATTGTATTCAGTTAGAAAATACATGGCTATGTCTGCAAGAAGAAGATTTAAGTACTTAATTCGGGAACTATTAAATTCTTTCTCCAGGTGATTTTATGGATCAGTCCACTAGTGTGCGCTGTGGTATAACAAATGTTGGCTCCTCACACAGACCCCAAACTTCATTTAACAAAAAAAATAGGGAAAAAAAAAAAAAAAAAAAGAAAAAAATCAAACCTTAAGTGTGATTAAAAATGGTACCAGCTTCTTTTTAATTAGCTTTTCTAGTATTTTTATTGTCTAATTTTAGCAAGAACTATCGGGTCTAATCCACATTTAAAGAATAATGTTAATATTTGCCAACTGAAATGCAACTAAAATAAAATCATGCCTGAAATGCAAACAAAAATAAAATTATGCCTGAAACACAACAACTATAATCTGAAGTGAAACCTTTTTATGATATTCTAACTCCCCTATTGGAAATACTTTATAAAACAGCCTTTATTGCACAGCTTCTTGGACTATAAATACAGGGATTCCATTTGCCCAAAATCACCAATAACAACTCTTTAAAATCACCAGCTACTTATTTATGTGATTAAGGTGTCACTATCATACTGCAGTGTTCAAAGGAAAGTCATTTCATTTCAATGACTGTTTGTCCTGATAAACGAAATAAACTCCTACAGCTGTATTCTTTGTCATACTTTCAATTTTCCCTAGGACTTGCAAACATTCTGCAGTTACATCAGTTTAAATTGTTTATTGATTCCAATAGATTGTATAAACACTTTGGAAATATAGCTCAGTGACCTAGAAAAAGCCAGATCAATCAGAGAACTTTTCAAGATTAATTTCAAAGATGTTGTGTTGAGTCCGATCAAGGAAACAGAACCATTTTCCCTTGTAATGTGACTAAAAGGCATTTATTTTCTTTTATGAGATAAGGATTTTTTTAAGGTCATACAGACAACATCTGCCTTGATGAAAAAAAAAAAAGAAGCAGCCAAAGAGAGAGTGTAGATTTTGTGCTGAAGATTATTTTCATGTATAATTTTATCCGTTAGGATGAAATACTCCATTAGAAATGCAAACAGGATACATCCACCCATGTACTCTACTCAAACAGCAGCTTGCAAACTTGAGAGCTGTAATAAATAGGAATTTTTAAATGTCAGACAACCCAATCATCCACTTGCACATAGCAAAAACATTAATATCACATTTCAGCGGGAGATATTAATACATTTCCCAGCAGCAGAATTAATGCCAGAGCCTTGTGCAGAGCATTTGCAGTGGCTCTCGTGACCCCTTCCCCCACCACAGCACTCCCCTGCCTTGGGAACATTTCTGTGCATGTGGCCTCCACGAGAATTCATCAGCTTCAAAGACACAGTCCTCATGCTGAGCAAAGCCACATACAAGGACAAACCATCACAGGACAGAAATCAATGAAGTCCTGTAATACCAGATTCACAACTGCAGAGAACACGACTGTAATTGGGGGAAAGAGGGAGTAAGAACACTTAAAGCTGAGTATAACCTGAAAAAAACCACAATCTGCAAGAACTTACACAGGGATGAGGAGAGAGCCTCAACAAAACCAAAAATATTTAACTCTGAAATAAAACCCCCACCTCATGTATTTTATATCTATGCAGATATTTACTCAGCATTCATAGCAGGGAAGGACATTGCTTTACTCTCATTTTAGAGACATGAGGTGGTAATTGAGCAGGATGGACCTGGTGTGCAGTGCATACTGCTCTGTAAGGAGGCACAATAGAAAAGCTGGGCTACGCTTCTGGGTTTTCCTGGTCTATTTAGTCAAGGACACCATTTTGCTTTTTTGCTTTTTTTAAAAGTGAAAGGCTATGATGCAGCCCAGAAGTGTTTTAGAGGCTCTGTTTGTACACAGAAGCCTGAATTGTAATGAAGTTACACCAACACAAAACTCCTTCCATTCTCACAATGCTGGAAGTGGAGGAGGGTGGCTGCTTTCACAGTGGCAGGGTATTACTACAAAGCAAGAACAACCACACACAGACAGGGCCTTAAATCAAGAGCACAGATGCCTAAATATTTGGAAGCAGAGGCTGACAGCTTAGCTGTGCACCAATTTGCTCTCCCTCTTCAGCAGGACATGAAAAAAAAGGTAAAATTTCTCATGCTTTCTACGTAGCTTCTCTTACTTTCAAAGCTCTGTTTATAGATGGGCCTTGAAGCACTTGAGACACATTCAGTGTTGAGTTCTTAAATTAGGAAATGCTTTTTCCCCCTCCTTTTCATATCCAGCCCTTAAAACTGTGGCAATATACATCATGTAAAAAGTGAAACTTAATGGCAGACAGCTTCCGAAATTTCAATGAAAGTCAATACTCCAGCTGAGCAGTTGCTCCCAAAAGGTTGAAGTCATTGTGGTACTAAATCATTAGTTTGTCACAAATTGGCTGCACCTCCTTATGCTCTTTGCAAGATTTTCCATTACCTTCTATCTTCTCTGAATTTATTAATTTATACACAAAATGGCTCTGACAGCAATCAATTTCAGATTTACTTACTGCTGCAGCAAAATCAACCAATGAAGATGACAAATAGTACAGATTTTGGTCAAAAATCTGAAACAAGACTTAGGTATTGCTCACTTTCATCAAATCTAGTATGATTTTCAAGTGCTGATTCCAGAAATTAATATTTAAAGGATGCAAAAGAAGTCAACTTTCCCAAGAGATGAGACTGATAAACCCCAAACCTTCCTACCAAAGAAAATTCCAAAAATCATAAATAATGACTTTTAAATGGCTAGAAACAGACAGGAAACCAAGGTGCAGCCTCTCCTGAGAGCAAGCTTTTTCCTAAGAATTTTGCAATATTTTTCAGTGTTCTACTTTTTAGCAGGAGTTCTCAAAACCTAAAACATATGCTCTCACAGAAGCAAACCCTGTCTCAGCATGCATGCCAGTCTCTAAAATATCAGGTGAACCACCTGTTTCTGGTTTTTGCTGTGCAATAAAATAACCCTTGAGATCCTGGGACGATTGTTTTCAAGATCACTGAAGCCAAAAATTCTGGTAACTGATGTTTTCAAGGACTTCACATAGGATTTAGTATTTCATTAATATCTATTAGTATCTGTCATTATATCTATCATTACCAGTATCTAACTTCATGCTGTTATTTCCCTAGTACTAGGAAAATGAGAATATAAAAAGATGGTAGTAAAACAATACAGGAATATTACAGAAGGGCATCTGATCCAGACACTTAACCTCTGTCTCACTTCAAAGAGAACTTAGGTTTTTGTTAAATTTTATAGCAGGTAAGATCATATTTCAGCAGCATAACCAGGAGGACATGAAAAAGCTATCGAACTGCACTTCAATCTGGAAACAAAAGTAGAAGCATGCTATTTCCAGAGCAGGAAAAAGACTCCTTTGATCCCAAATGCACAAGAAGTAGCTTTGCCTCTCACATAACAGAAATAGTCAAATACTCCCATGATTGTTGTAGTCTCTTGAGGAAAGGATTTTTCTTGTGCCAGCACACAGCTCTGTTCAAAGGACTTTTTGACCTTATGGAATCCATCTCACTATTTCTCCTTTTCTTTCTGACAGGTACTTTGCTGCAGGTTTCAGTGCTGCAAGCAAGGCTTAGCTTGTAAGTCCCCAAGAAAAACCCCATTTTCTAGGAGTGTGTGAGGATGTCTGTGCACCATGAAAGCAAGGACTGGACTCCAGCTTTGCTTTCTTGAAGCAGCACTGAAAGGACAGAGTGTGAATGCTCTTTCCCAAAGCATCCAGGATGCCCAGGATGCTCCTCTCTGCACAACCAACCAAACAACTGCCTTGCCACACTGTGGGCAGAAACTCGAGGGCCTGTGAGTGCCACTGGGGCTGCAATCAAACCCCATAGAATCATGGAATAGTGAGGGATGGAAGGGACCTCTGGAGGGTTCTATGGCCACATCACTGCTGACTGTCAGCTCCCAACGTCAGCAAATGCTTTCCTTAGATGTACATAATGAAAAATGTAAAAACAAAGTATGAAAAATCAATATTCAAAACTTGGCTGTCTTGTTCAATAGTAAATCTATTTACAGTTCTGCTTCTGACTGAAATCTCAGAGGAAAGGGGAAGAGGATTGATTTGTGGTGTCTCTAGCAGGCTCAAAGAAAAGACTGGAAACTGCCAGGGAGGATACAAAAGGGCTCAGAGGACCTTGCACAAGACCCCAATTTCTGTCTCACTGAAAAGTATTGCAGTGGTTTTACAACCACACAGCAGGGCTCTGGGACTCACTCCCAAGAAGGCAGCCAGCCACTTGACAGTACTTTTTAAAAAAGAATGGGAAAAGAGGGAACTAAAGGTCAAGGTGGGGAGTCAAGTTTCATATTGACTGTGGCTTGACTAGCATTAAAAACAGTAGCCTGGATATGCTAAGCAATTTGTCTTTGTAATTCAAAATAAAATTGAGGAAATAAGCACCAAATACTGTGAGATTAGACTCCATATTCTTGCAATCACACTAACACTGCTTTCCTTTCAGTGCTCTGATTTCCTCTGTATTTCTATGATCTGAACAGCAGCGTTTGCATGCATTTCCAAACATTGACCTCTAAACCATGTTTGTCATTCCAAGTATAACTCTCAGTACACGATCAGCTAAAACCATTGTTATCTCGGAAGCATGAAACAGAGATCAATTTTTTTAGACTATGCCCTTTATTTCTCATTTTGATTTTTTTTTCTGATGACAGAAGTAAATGGTTACATATTTTACATAAAGAGATGTTACAGCTCTGAAGAGCTGAGAACATTTGCTTTAATAAGAAGAAAAAACATAATTTCACAAGATCAGAAATCTCTTCTGGAGAGAGGCTCATAAAGAGAAAAAGCAAGAACATTCAGACAAGTTCAAGATTAACTGGCAGACGACTAAATTACTATGCATGTAACAGCAGCTCACAACATACAAGACTTTCCTGCTATCAACAGAAGGCACCCCATCAGCTCTAAATAAAATGTGTATATAATTTAGCCCAAACCCCCCCAGAAAGAGTCCAGCTGAAGAAAGGATAAAAAAGTTACCATGACAATATCTCTTCCCAGATATGGGCAACTAATGCACAAACACTGTCAGAGGAGAGTGGGGAGGCAGACAAGATGACAAAGAAACCTCCTTCAAACCCCAGATACATTCTAATCTCTGTGTAACACTTTCCAAGATGCACTATTACACACAACAACTAACAAACAAGTTTTCAAGCAGAGGAAGATGTTAAAACACCAACTTGATCTTTGTGAGTATTAAAAATTCAGTCCCCACCTGCCATCTGTCATTTTTCTTTTTAAAGAAAAAACTGAGACAGTTTTTCGATTTTGGAAACAAGCATTAGGCTGTGTGAAGGCTGTAAAATGCAACCTGCAAGCATTGACTAACTTGGTACCAATGGTAACAGAGTGTGAACTGGTCACCAAAGCACATCTTCAGCATTTAGGATGGGACATCAGTTTAATGCTTAGTTTTTCTCAATTAAATTATTTAATCTATTTGCTTACTCAGGCCTAGCTTTTCATACAGTTTTTCTGTTCCCAGAAAGCCAACCAGTAACTTGCCACCTGAATGTACAAGAGAAGCACCAAGAACACATTCTACTTAGCAGGAAGCAGGGAATACTCCCCTTGAAGGATTGGAGGGCCCATCATGAAACCATCTGTTGCTTTTTTGACATTTCTTCCATCCCACCCTCATAGGACACTGAAGCTGGGAAGCTGGCCCAAAATATTAACCCAGGGACTGAAATCCATTAAATTAAAGGGTATTTGAAACTGTTCCCAAACAAGTCCCACTGGGGTCAGTGGAGATAGATAAGAAAAATAATTGAAATATAGCAGTTAATCTACACACAAGAGCTGCAGAGGTCCACACTTCCACTCAAAAAATCAAAATCAAGATTTTAGGGTGTCAAAAAAGTGAAAATATTGGAAAATAACACACTGAGTAGATTAAAGCTGGCCCAAGCATGTTATGCACACCAGTCACACATCTGAGTAGAGCACAGCCACAAGGACGTGCTCAAAAACACCTGTGAAAAGTCAGATGGAGAAAAGGTTTCCAAGCACCTACTGTAAAGTTTACTTCCCATTTTTACATATCTGTATTTACATTCCTGAGATTCCAATCACCTCTGAAACAGTGATGATTCATTTAAGTGATGATTTATTAATTCTCTGTTCCAGATGGACATTGGCACCCTGAAATTTGGGGTGTCACTGTTTCAGACATTTTCACTGCCATGTTACTAGGATTGTCATCATCAAGCAGAGAGATAGCAAACAGAGCAAAAGGAAAAGTCAAACAACAACACAGCTGTTGCAGGAAGATTTTTCAGTCTCTTCAGCCCTCACACCTCCAAACATGCAAATACAGTCATGCAGGCATTGCTATCACCAGCTCATGTTCCTGATTCCAGAATGTCATGAACAAAACCAGGGCATTACCTTTCCCTCAGAGAAGATCGACTCAGCACAGAACTCTGAGACTCCTGAACTGCTGGAGGTGCTGAACACTCCAAAGAAGCTGCAGAATGGGACTCTCTGTTGGGTGGATCTGGGCTCACATCCTCCTTGTAAACAGCAGAACTGTCCAAGCCTTTTCCACTGGTGGATTTTGCCTGAAAAATACCCCACCAAACTAAAAATTATTATGAACATTAAGATGTACAATTTTCATCTTAACCTGAAAGGCTAAAGATTGTATATTCATTCAGATTGTACATTCTTAAAAAATCCATGATCTAAAGTAAATCAAAAACTCTCAGAAGAATCTGTTCATAACTAACACACCATCTTATGTGAAACTCTTCTGCAACAGCCCTTTTATCAACTTTTCTGAGTGCACAAGTAAAGGCACTTTCCCAGGAATCCCACAGATTCAGAATAATGCCTGAGAGCCTAAACAACCCATGGAAGAATCCAGAGGCAGCACAATATATTAGACTACACAGTACACAGAACAACAGCCCTTGGTAATAAAAGTTTAGAGTCTGACAAAAGTGTGCTTAACATACATATCAAGGTTTATCCTCATAATTCCCTTTCTTTCCTCATCCCTATTGTCATCAATTTTCCCAGTCATTAGGAAATCTAGGAGGGCACACATAACTGCATAAACCCAGGATTTTTACAGTACTTCAGGAACACAGGCAAAAAGCAACTAAATGAGGATGTAAAGAATAAAACCTCCCAAACCCCAAACAATCCTGACATTAACCTTTAGATTCTTTTAATACAGAAAGAAGCCAAAATTGAAAAAGAAAGGATGTGAAATAACACAACAGTGGCTTCCCAGTTGCACCAGTGCCACCTTCACATACATTTCCAGAATAAAGAATGCTCTCAGAGTAACTGGTCAGGCAAATGCAAACAGCCTTTAAAGGCTCCTCTATGGCCTTGCTGCAAGCCTTAATGCCAAGGAAAAGCAAATTCTGTATGTGCAGGCATCTTTATCTTTAAAGAGTGCTAAGTTTCCTTCTAATGTTTGTAAATAATCTGTCAGCAGGCCTTTACTGGGCTAGATCAGATTTAAAATGTCCTTTTTCTTGCTTGTGATACTACAGTAGATAACGTTTCAAATACCTATGCAAGACGATCCAAGAAAGACTGGGAAGCTCAGAGCTTCCCAAAAAACAGTGTGTAAGCAAAACCACTTGCAAGTACTCACTTCAGTTTTCTTGGGTCTGTAGCTGTTGAGAGGAGAAGGATCTGGAGAAGGAAAAAAGGTCCATGACAGAAGAAATCAAAATCACATTTGCATTTCTTAAATTCTATGAAATCTTTTACAAAGCATCCTATCTGTCCTCACAAACATTAAATCTACTTCTTGGTCTGTTCTACCAGTTTGTACTGAACAACCCTCATACTGTGACCCAGGAAAAGAAAAAAAAGGGACTAAACTGTACTGTCTGCATTAAGATTTCTAATCCTAAGGATCTGTTCTTTTCAGAAGTTACAGTTAAGCCTCAAGACACAGACAGGTGACCAAAGACTCCTCTGGATATTAATAGAGGTAGATTTTGGTCTCTTAAACACTGGCCAGAAACCACCAGCTCATTTTTTAAGTGTGCAATGGTATCAGATGATCTGGTCTGTTCCATTATCCAGCCATCACAGACTGACAAATCTGTTCCCAAAGGGGATATGAAACCTTTAAAATCCAGCACCCAGTGCAATGACAAAGAACAAATGTAAAATAACACGTTCATAAGGATTTGCTGTATAACAAATTATAATTAGTGAGGAAATGAAATAAAAATGAGGCAGAGCACACATAAACAAATACTGATGAGACTCATTAAAATCCTCATATTGTAAGACATGTGCAATAAAATCAAATTTTAGGGTGCTTTCTTAAATTTCTGGTCCCACACTTTTTATTAAGCTCTCACTTACTGATACCAAAGCATGCTGAAGCAGATACTGGAGCACATCCTGGACGCTCATTAATAATGGTAAGTCACTGATCCACTACTCACAAATACTGCTGAAATAAACATTACCCATTTTTAAAGGAACACAGCCCCTGAACTTCAAAATTATCAATACCAAAGCTTGATCAACACACCCACAAACCGTGGTGCAAATTTTCTCCACCATCCAACTCAACAAAAAAGGGAGTGAAACAGAGAACTCGTCTGAGCTTTGTAATTCTCTCCTATTTTCATATAATGTAGAACTATGCTCCAAGCTTCATGAGGCAAAGAACTTTTCAAGGACACCCTTTGAAGCAGTAATTTATTCAGCATTCTTCCGTTTCCTAGGAAGAACTAACAGCTTTTTCTCCATCACAGATTTTCATAATAAATAAAACCCCCCAAAATAATAATAAAAAGCCCCAAATAAAACTGCTTCCTGCAGAAATCAAAAGCAGTTATGAGATATATAGCAGAAAATACTGACCATGGGGTGCCTTGGGCCAGGCTTCTGCTGTGATTTCTCGCAGGGAACACAAGGAATGAAGTTTAGCACCAGGACTTGGTTGTCCAACCTGAAGCAAAAATACTGTTAAAATACTCAGTATCAGATGTATCAATCCCTGTTTTTTCTGGTTTTGTTCATAAGACCACAACTGGTCTATTTTCTGCAATATTTTACTTTATTTAAATACTATTTTAGACTATTTTCACAGCACTTGGCTCATGGGCATTATTAGTATTACTGTGTATAAACAGAAACAGTGCTAGAAAAGTCGAGAAAACTCTGAATATCCTATTGTTCAAAGAAAGGGAAAATACAGACAGCTCCTCCTTCATCTGTAATGTCTGCAGTCTTTTTAAACAATTCCTGGTATCTCATACTTATTCTAAACAGCTCAGATCTCACCAAGAGAGATCTGAATCTCTTCCTAATTAAAAAGTTACATTTAATACAATCCAATTTTGATCTTCATAACACAAAATCTCCAGGCCAAAAGAGTTCTCAGCAGTAAAGATGCCCTAAAAGGAGATTTCTCAATCTAGAAAGGCCATGACAGTGAGGACATGCTGAATTAAGAGACAAGCTTTCTCCTTTTTTTGTACAAACATAACCAAGCATTGAAAATCAATAATCTGTGTTAATGATACTACAATTAAACTGTGAACTTCACCTATAGATCAAAACCAAGAAGAATTAAATAAAAGGAGTTAAAAGAAAAATATCTGAGAAAAACAGAAGATTGATTAATGATTAATGACTTATTCAGGCCATTTTGAATTTCTTAAAGGTAGCTATATGTAGAATAAAACTTCTAAACTTTGACAATATAGTATTAACTAATTATTACTGATACTAGGTAAAAATATAAGGTAGAAGCAAACTATTTAACTACTTGATTATCTAACTGGTTGTGGCAGGTGCCCAGAACTGTAGAGAAATCATAATGCCACGGCACAGAATATGAACAATCCCATTTCTGCCCCTACAAATTCAAAGTGATTTTCTAAAAACAAAGAATTGTTGAAATAAGAAGAGTAATTAAGAGGGGGGAAAAAAAATGAGTATATGATCCTCCAGGTGGCTGGGAAATGTAGGCCCTTCATTTTAAAAGAGCTACACACAATTTCTTTAAGTACCTAATTTCAGGACAATTTTTGATGTATGGCAAAATGTCCTTATGTTATGAACTCTAAGTCAAAGCGTTTCAGATGTAGCTCTGAGCAAAGGAAGTGTTCCAAATATCACAGGATGACAACATGAAAAAAAGTTGAAAGAGAGGAAGTGTAAGTGTTCATAATGTGACTAGACACTCTTTCTTTAAAGTCTTATTCAGGAATTTTTAATACTAATATCAATTACTTCCAAGCCAAATTTATACACCTATTATCCTGTCTAGTGTGCTGGAAGAAAAGAAATGGGGCCTCAGAGAATTTAACCAAGATATTCATGAAAGAATTTGATCTTTGTCTGTTACTAAAGCGGATAAAAGAAATTTTAGTTTAGTTAATTTTACATTTAAATCATTCTGTGACAGACTGTTAAGGAGAAGAAAAAATTCTTCATCTAAACTAAGAGCTGAATGAATTTTTGGAGCGCTATTTAGTGAAAGAACAACATTTGAACTGAGCTTAAGCTGGAAGCCCTGGGAGCCAACACAAACCCGTCTGATGACAAAGGGAGGTTTGTCAGTGTCTCTCCTGAACTCGTGAGGGCCCAGGTTGAGGTGGGCCAGTCTCTGCCTGGCCTCCTCCGAGAGCTCGCACATGCGGCGCTTGGTGTACGGGGACGGCGAGCGCGACTTGGAGGCAATGGTGGGCTGCTCGTAGCTCCTCAGCGCCGAGCTCGGCCCGCCCTGCTCTGCTGAAGGAGGGCTCTTCTTGGCCAGCTTTGAGGGCATTCTTCCATTCGGGGTTGGATGATGCACCCACTGCCTATCGGTCTGAAGTGAAAAAGAGAAATGATCTGATTTGACAGCGGGTGGGATAAAGATCGCTGAACATAACGCAAACAAGGAACTAATCATTTTACCAGAAGGAGATGCCATGGCAGCTGAAGTCCCCCTCACAAAACTATAATCAAACAGCAATTTAAAAAGCGTGTTTACCATTTTCTCTGAAACCAAAAGAAGGATAAACACCTAGTACTGCATGTTAGATGTTAAGCGTCTGATACTCAATTAGCTTTCTCACACAGTTAATGGAGATTCTAAAAATTAAATTTAATTTTGTCTCAAGTTCCTTTAGTACAAAGTTTATCTGAATTAGCCATACACAGATTTGAAGCATGTTTTCATCTGTTTAAGCTTTTATTTTAAAATTTTTCCCCTTTAAAGTACAAGACAAATTAAAAAAGGAGCCTTTTTAATAGTTTAAATTATATGCATTTAGAGTTGCCTAAAGCTCCAGAAGAAGTGCAACTACATGCTCTAAAATTAATATTTTCCTGGATTATGGTGAATTTATTAGTTTTTTAAAGTGTAAAGTTTAGTGGAGAAAAACAATACTCTTTCTGTTAGAAATTTTTTTTCAAGCTGGAGCTAGTTGACATTAGCCCTAAATCTGAATGTTACATGGACTGCTCTGGTTCAGAGGGACCCAGAAATAAAATGTCCAGCTTGCCTTCAAGGCTTTCCCTTTACACCCAGCCAGTGAGGCTGAGGCTGTGTGTTTGTTTTGTATTGACAGAATCTGAACTCACTGGGGCAGCTGATGGTGAGACACAACACAGACCCAGCCACACAAAGCCAGACCTAATTTTCTAAGACTAATCTCAGCTTCACCAGAAGCAGGTGATGCTGCTCCTGGCTTACACCAGTTGTAAAACTGCAACACAAGTGAATCTGAGCTGCCGTTCATAGATACTTTAGGAACAGTTTAAATTTTAAATCAAATTGCCCTTATTCAAGTCACCTTCACTGAAGTCAATTTTCTGACAATGACAATTTTCACTGATTTTTAATTCTTTTTCTGTCTCGATACATTTCATTTGCTAAATTTGGAAGAAACTTCTCATTGAAGTCATTAGCAATGCCACCAACAGGTCAAAGTCACCTAAGTGTCTTTGCACACAAGCCTTGCTGACAACCATTCCCTTCCAATGATGCTGCACCATTTTTCAATATTACAGCAGAAGAAGGAGGATATAAGAGTAACTTTACATGACAGCTTGTTCCAGAAATCCAAACCAAAATTCCAATCTGTTAGACCAGAGAAGAGTGGTACTTCACCTTTAACTTTACTTGCTGCAAAAGCAGCATTTCCAGATTAATACAGGTGATAGCCTTTTCAACAAAAATCTGCATTTCCATTACTGTCAGTGATACAGTTATGGAAAACAATTAAATTAACTGGTTTGGTTTAATAATGCACCTTCTCTAACCTCACCTAGTTTTTATTGTCCTTAATTTTAGGTGTCAGTAACAAATGGTGAGAAGGCATCTTCCCATGCACAATGCACCAGGGACTGACACTTCAGCTGATCATAGAACACAGCAGCTGATAATTGTTTCAGATTCAAGGAACTCTCAGCATCTACTGTCATGCACCAAACCCACTCTTTACTCATACTTGATTAAAAATTTAATCAAGTTGTCAAGCACCCGTGATACCCGCTTTAACCACAGCAAAAGAATGAGGAAAGTTTGAAGTGAGCAGCACATGCAAAAGTTGGAAGCAAGACTATCAATATTAAATCTAGAAATTGCAAACAATTAAATTGTGCTAACCTGTATGTGACTCCTTCCTAAGATTAACAGACTGTCTGAAATATGGCAGGTTGTAGAAAATCTCAATTTTGGTGCAATTCCCTAGAAGAGAGACAATAATTGCATATCAAGCTTCAACTCAAGATAAAGGGTATCAAAGAGGTAAATGTCACCTAATGTAACAAACCATTCCTAATTTTCAGCCATTTCCTTTGTTAATTTCAGCCTTTAATAAAGATAATTAGAAAAGACAGAACAGCAATGGTAAATGTCAAGATGCTAACATTTGCATTTCTGACAATTCAATTACAGATGATTACACTGCTTTTGTACAACAATTAAGGTCTGACTTTTATTTTAATACATTTTTTTGTCAAAAGCACTTTTAAAGATTTTTCATGCCATGCTATATGGCATCAATAAAAATTTCAGTCATGCTCTAGAAGTTTCATTAATACTAACTTTGTAAACTTGTTTGAAAACAGTCTCAGTTGTGCCATCTCATTTGTAAAAACATTTTGTTTAATCAGTCAATCACACTGCAGATAACTATTCCTTTTTAACAGTATGACTAAGAATACCCTTAATTCTGTAATCTTTGGAGTAGTCTGATTTCTGTGGATGCCTCCCTTGTTCCACAACCATGTTCCACCCCCTCACAATCCCCTCCTGCCCATGGGGCAGCCCTAGTTTGTTCCATGTGGAATCACTGGGGTCCCACTGGGCCTCCTGGTGAAGCACAGCACACACAGCAATGGCCAGCATGTCCCTCCATTTTTACATGATTAGCAGCTTCTGTTCCACTCACCTTTTACTGCAGCCATGGCTAGGAACACAACACCTCAGAAAACTACTGCCTTTCTATTCACTGAGCATTGGCCAAGGCATTCAGAATTTACTGGGTGTAAAGGACAGGGATTACAACACACAAGGATTATTTCCCAAACAGCAGCATTAAAAAAAGGCATAAAAGAACTAAATGCCACATATGCTATAAACAAGTGGCAATCATCTATGTGCATCCTATACAGCTCTGCAGAATCCAAGAGAAAATCAAGTGCCCCCAGAAATTCCTACCCCCTCTTCTTTCAACATGGACAGAATTTGGTGCCTAAGGCATCTCAGTGCACAGGCATTTGTGCACATGAACACACAAAATCACTAAGTCATGAAAAAGAGCTGGTCTGTTTGTGACTTTATCCCACATCCATAAGAATTAGCAGGAACTTCATGAGTGAAGTCTATTGATTAACCAAACTATTCTCTACCACCTGCCTAAACACTGATTTCCCATTAGGGAACATGATTTGGCCCCAGGATAGATTATGGAAATCAAATGACAAAAATGCCAAGAAAGCTCAGTCGCAGTAATTAACAGAGTCCAGGATTCAATCAAGTCAAGTTATGGCACATAAAAGAGGTTTTAAGCCTGATCATCTTTAATCAACTCGTTTTTATTACTAATGAATTGTCAAGTGCTATCAACAATTTAAAAAGGGACACATCAGAATTAGTAAGTCTACTAAAAAATGCAACAATAGAGCACCTACTGCTCTTACAGAGACTGGAAATGATTACAAAATTGTTAAGTGTTCATCCCTAAAAAATGACACAAACTATGGTTTCTTCAGAGAAGTAGTCTGTGGAGAGGGAATATGGGATGGCATTTGAATGCACAGGCATGGATATGTCAAAAGCAACTCACATGCCAAAGCCATCAGACAATTTGCTCTTTGTTTTCTGCAGCTCCCAAATCAGGGGTTGCTGTAGGATACTCAACACAGAATTATGTAAATACCATCATATAGCCCCAGACACATCTGTAAATGAAAATCCAGCTGGAAAGTTTTTGGGATCTCTTCTGCTTCTGGCTTAGTGGTGTCTGCAGCCCTGAGCATTTCTGCACCAATCATTAAACAGAAGGGATGTAATACCAATTTGACCACAGAAAAAGTATAAAGGTGGTTCACCTTTAGAAAAATACAAGTCTAATATCTGCTTTTGACTATAAGGAACACAAGTACAACCCTAGTTTAAAAAAGTATACAGGAATGTAACAGAAGGCCTTGCACTGGACTGTTAATGGAAGATAGCATAGCTAAAAAGAAACTGTTTTAAGTAATGTGGCAAATACTGCATGAAGGTGGGGAATGGAGATAAGAACATCTGTAAGAAATCACTACCACAGTCCAGGCATAAACATATTCTGAAAGGTAAAGGTTGCAGAGAAATACAGAAGAGCCAGCAAGAGCCTCAGCTGGGCAACACTGGACCAGGAGAGATAACTCGAGGCATGTCTTGTATGCACACTGAGTTTGTAAACCTTGTAAGACATTTAGCCAGGGACATTATCAGCCAAGTGCCAGATTTCTGGAGGGGTTTTGATCCTCTCAACTTGGGATTCCTTCCAACTGGCAGATTAGCAGTGTTAATCAGACACTGCTTGTCACTGCCTATCTGAACTCCACAACCGTAACCTTACTGTTGCTACCTTTATTTTTTTAATAAAAGACAAATTTATTTGGAATCAAACTGTCACTGAAGCACAGCTGCCATTCAAAAATATTCGACATCTCAGCTGGCTATAAATAACTTTTCATGTGGGAAGAACATGGCTTCAGTAGCATAGGAATAATGTGAGGGTTCTCATGACCTTGTTCAATACTTCCTTTTGCTTAGCATTCACATCCAGCACTTCATGCTGACAGACTTAGCAAGAGACACTTGCCAGTAAAGCTCAGGGAACACTGGGAGAGGGAGGCACTTGAGACTGCATTTCTACTGGAGGTAAAAATCCTTTCATAGTTTTTCCATTTGGCAAACGAGGAGAGGAACAAGAAGTTCCTTTTGGGAGCCTCCTTCCAATGCAATCAAACCCAGCTTCTGCATTATTCCTGAAAAGGGGGTCACTATGCCAAAATCCTCTCTTATACTGTACTTTCAAGTTATGGAGATGGAATGGAGCAACAAAGGCTTCTGCAGTCCCTGTTCCAGGCAGAGATGGATTTTGTTATTCTGCTCCCAAGGATATGAAGTACATCTGTGTCTTACAGCAGTCAACTTTTTAAAGCTACTACAGTGTCATCATTCATCACCTACACTTCCAAATTACTCTGACCACATCTTCTCACAGCTCACAAATTATGGCACCTTCTTTTTATTAGAAAGTACATAATTTTTGTTTCAAATAACTCAGTTTGACAAAACCCATCAAACTTGTCTAGCAGCTCTGCTTCTATGAAGAGTCACTATATTCTGTTCACAAAAAAATCTAAAAACATTTAGCTAATACCACTTCATTTGTTCCTACCTCACTGTTCTTTCTCAACACCAGGAAGGCACCTATTCTATGAGCAGCATGAAGGCCAAACAGGCTCACCCCATCTCTTGAGCCACACCACCAGGCATGGGATGAGCCACATCAAAGAAACACTACAGCCAGTTGTTTTTGTTTTTAAGCTACTGCAGAATCAGACATTTTGTAGCACAAAATCACAACCTCAATTCATTCAAATGTAACACAGCATTAGACACCAAATTAGCACCTCTAATTGCAAGTGTCTGGGCAGTTTCCAGGTTGCCCTTTCTGGGGAAAGGCTACACCAGCTAAAAGATAACAATGAACTTTAATCAGCATTTCCCTCCTCCTATGTGCTTTTAGCCCAACCACAATGGACAGGGTAATTGAGTTCTTATCCAAATGTCCTGTCAATCCACCAGTAAAACTCCACAAAAACCTCAAAACACATCATCACCATCCTCCTTAAGGTGCCTTCCTGGGTTATTCTGCTGACAATTAAGATTCAACAGTCAAACTTCATGAAAGGGCATTGTGAAATGAATTCATTCTCATTTAACATGTACTTGAGCCCTTATCTCCAGAAAATTAGCATTAATTCACTGCACTCATTCTGCCAATTAGCTATTGTTCCAAAATGCTATGGAGAGGGACCAAGGAGGAGGGTTACATGGCTTCTGTTGAGAACCATGAAGTCAATATGACATCTCCTGCATCCCTTCAGCCACCAGCTGCATCACAGATTAAACTGAATGGAGACATGTCATGGTGCCTCACTGGAAACCAAGTGGAAACTAACTTTTCCACATTAAATAATTTCTTGAAGCATTTTGAAAAAAGATTATACTTTCCCCGAAGTTCAGCTGTGGATTTGTACATTCAACACCTTAAAATGGCAAAATCTGTCAGAAGTAATCGCTTTTCATTTGAAGCAGTTCAAGGGGTTTCTTCAGTGAAGCAGACTGTGTCATAAATACAATCCACAGACATTCACTCACTGTGAAAGACGGGGACCTCTTCATTAAAACCTCACGCTGCAAACCACGGAGCCCATGGGTAAGCTTAGGGTCAGGGAACAGGAAATCTCTTGTATTTTCTTCATATGTAGCTAGAACTTTTCCCACTAAAAAGAAAATACGTACTTTAATTGGAAAATAGACAAAGCCACACAGCACAGACACCACACACAGAGCCATGTTGAAACCAGGATAAATTTTGCTCTTTACAAATTAACAGCATGGCTCTAAAACTCCTATAGCACTAGGAAATAACCTCATCAAGTTAAATCAGCAGCAAAAATGTGCAGAATCTACTATGAAACGATGTTTCAATGTTAGTGGAAAAAAAATTAAAGAAGATTGTGTTAACTCTTCTATAACAGGTACATGAAAGGTTTTCTTCAGGTAACTTTTCAGTACTTTTCTTCTTTCTTTCCCTTCCATGCCACAGAAAAAAACCCAGAATTTTTTAATGGCACCCAATTCCTTATGAAAAACTACCATTCCATACTACAGAACAGTAATAGTAGCAGTAAAAAAACCCACAAGCAACAGCAAAATAATTATTTTAAGATTTTTCTCAATACCCTGTCTTGCTACTTCCGAAAAAGCCAAGTTTTTCTTTAGATGTAAACCCTTGAATGCATATTGTGAAAAAATGCATCTTGTGATATCGCAGCCATCTTGCTAGCTTATGCTGGGCTGTATCACACCTATGTCTGAGCCCTGAAAATAAATTCTAATGCAAGATCCTTTACTTCACACAAAAAAAATCCCCATTCACTACATTTCTTCAAGTAAACAGTCTGGTAAGTCACCTGAGAGAAGCAGTAGTTTCCTTGAAAGTACTAAGGACAAGTGAGAGAGTGCTTTTAATACCACAGTTTCCAAATGAGTCCTCTTTAAAACTTGACTTTATTTCCAATAAAATGCAGATTTACATTATTCATGGGAACACTTGAATTTCATTAAAATAGATTTTTATAATCACACAAACCAATAACAGAAGTATGACAAATCGCTATTTATTATCTTCACACATCCCAAGAGACCTGTAATACTTATAGTGAGGATAAGAGTTTTCCCAGTGGTCACCATTAAAATGGAAGGAAAAAAAGTGTCACTCTGAGAACAAGATTATGCACTCTGAAATTTCACAGACAGCCTCTCTAGAAGTGAATTGTGATGCAGTTAATAATTATGCACTGGATGATTACAGTTTATTTTCCATTTTTAAAATATTATCACTTTCCTAAGCCTCAGTATGATACATTTAAATATTCAGTTATTATTCTCTTTCAAGAATGAGATCCTCTTGATCTGTTAACATTTTCTATTCAGAGGACTATTTGTTGAAGGGCTTTCTATGTTGTTTGTGTGTTGAAAAAAGTAATTATGCTGTAATGGGCAATGTCCTCCTGGAAATTCACCTATTAAACTGCATAATTTATGAAAAGACTGATACAATACCTGGAGGAACGAGCTGTATTAGTTCAAGTACTGCTGTGTCAACTAGAAGGGAAAAAAGTTTTTCATGAGTTAAAAAAAAACCTAAAATGAAAATTTCCATAATCAAAACCCAAGAAAAATGAATCACTGATTTAAACTTCACAGCACTGTACATTGCTGCACTATTTCCACCACACCAATAATAAGATAAATTTAAGTATAGCTTGCATAAATATCATAGATGAACACAATGGCATTAGCAGGGTACAAATGACAACACTAAATCTGACTTAGAACTTGTAAGTTCTATCTGCTGCCAAGTTTTTCCTCTTTTAAAGAAGATTATGCAAGCTTTGCCCCCTTTACAGATAACTCCCATGTGAGGGAGTTATCCTGCAGTTTGAGTTCAGGTCAGCGTTTTCTCACCACAATTCATTATACAAATGTAGCAAGACATAATCTTCTTAAAAATGAAAAGAATAACTTTACAAAAATTACAGGTTTATCCTTTTAAAATTTGAAAATTAATCAAATAAATAACCATATAAAGAAACCTACTACCAGATAACCCGCTGGACTTTCAACTACTTATGACTTTTTACCCTTTTCCTGTTCCACAGCATGTAACACACATTTCTAGAGGCATTTTGTTAGGTAATACTGGTTACCTACTAGTTTTTCAGAGAACAGTCTCCTTCTGATAGAAAAACCATCACATACTTTAAACCTCCAAAACATCTTTAGAGCCCATATATGTATGGCATTAATGGATATAACACAGTACAAAAAAAACCCAGAACTTACACTCCAGTAACTTCACAAGGTCTCCAGGATCAACTATATTAGCAAATTCCTGAAAAAGAAATAATAATAATAGTAGCAGTAGTAATAATAATGATGACACAATCAAAGTAATCAGATGGACCTCTTGGGAAAGTGAAGGGAAAAAAACCCGAAAATCAATGCTCTTCCTTGCTAGGATGGTTGTCAAGAGTCCTATCCCCATTGGAAAAAAGAAAGGATACTAAAATTATCATTTGGATCATGATCGAATTCATTGAAAGCCAGCAGTTCTTGTTATATACTTCCTATGCATACAGAGTGGCTTCTCTGTATGTAAATAACAAAAAATAATTTATTGTGAAGTGTTGAAGATGTAAAAGTAAGCACTGTCTAAGAAAATTTCAAGAAACATAATTTGCTGCACGTACTGCAATTCTGATAGGTCAATGTTCGCTAATTTATTAGTAATGTTTTAAGCTTCATTTTCACAGAGGTGACTTTTCAGTCTCCTGTTCAGGTTTTTTTTTAACCTGAATCCCATGTGAATAGATAGCAAGGAATAGGGTAGGATGTTGCACTGGATGGAAGTCCCTACATTACACTGACAACAGCATTCAGTACATTCCCCTTAAGAAGTTTGTGTTATGTTTGCCTTTAAAGAATGATGGTCTTTCCTACTCTTCACAGGTAGTGAAATAATCACTGTTTCTTTCTCATCCCCTTCACCAGAGCATCACTCTGAGCAAGTTTACTCAGCCTGGTTTTCAAAGTGCTGGGGAATGCTTAAAGGAGAAGAACTGGAAAGGGCAAGGTATTGTTATTCAGAGGTAGTGGAGAAGCCAGATCATATCTGTAAGATACTGTGTTTCATTATCCCTGTGGTACTAATAATGAAGCTAGTAGGGACTCAGAATATGTGATAAACAACTATAAATTACAGGGCCAGAGTACCAATCTGGGAATTCTGGTGACAAACCATGAAAAAAGTATCTCAGAGGGAGTAAGATGTCACCAAAAAGGCTTGAGCTGCTATTTTATCTTTCTACTAAATTAAGTTTCCTCTCCTATATTTTTGTACAGTCTCTGTTCTTCACCTTGCCGTAATTTTTAGAACAAAAACATTCAGGCCAGGAAAACAGACACTGAGGAAGGACAGTTCACAAAAGAATCAACAAACACCTAAAAACTCTCATCATACATTAGAATCTTCAGTACACACAATTCTTGAGTCCCCATGTGGATAATACAGGCACACCCCTCCTCTGTGCTAAAGAGAAGCAGGAGATAAAATACTGCTCCATTCTCAGTGTGATTATTTGTGCTCATGGGTTTTGCAGACCATTTTTGTGGAATTTGTGATGGGGTTTATTTGGGTTGTATCAGCACTTGACATATCTTACCTTTTCAAATAGTAGTCTTTCTTGAAAGAAGAGTGGGAACACTGCAGGGACACATTCAGTTTTGTGGTACTGCCCAAGTACAAAGACACTGAGATAAAGTTCCTGTTTGTCTTTCAGCTGCACTCCAGGACAAGTTATCTGTAGGAGTAACACACTCATTAAACAAACTGAACTTTAGCTAGACAAGCAATGGCTGTTTCCAAGATAAAAATGAAACAGTCAGGACTGAAATGGTTGATTTGTGAAAGTCAGGATGCAACAGACTAGAGCAAAAAAAAATTCTTCTCTAAAGCAATTCCATTTGTACAAAATGGACAGGAAAAAAAGTCACCATTTTAAAACAATCAGGACCAAATCCCTGCATAAGTAAACACACTCCATTGTCTTCAACCAAAACTGAAACCCAAGGCCAGATTAGCACAATTAAAGGTATGCTCTGACTGTGTAAGGAATAATCATCTTCTATATGAAGACTCATGTAGAATGAAGTCTACATGAGGCCAAAACACAAAACCCCACCCAAAATTCAGCCTAACTACAGAATGAAACTGGTAAATTTATGTGCTTAGATATCCATACTCTGTCCAGCCACCAGAAAGGGCACGTTTATTTGCAAATTGTCTGTAAATGAGAAAAAGCAACTGTTGTTCCAGTACTACCGGACACATTTCTTCCTTTCTCTTGGAAGTCTGGCCATCTTTAAACTCAAAGCAGGGAATGCTTCTCACTAGGCTGCCACATACTGCCCCAAATCTCTCAACTTTCTCTGCACAATTCTGAAATTCTTTGACTAAGAAGTCAGTCTGTTTTTAAAGCTCTGATTGCAAGAATGTACACAACTCACTCCAAAACTATTTGCTATCTTCTCCAAGCCACGTGGATTTATTTTATTTCCCTGAAAGAGAATTGACACCTTTCACTTAAGGTCTCATGCTATTTTTTAAGTCAGTATTAGAAACATGAGGTTGTCTCTTCCAGAATAAGGTTTCTGGAGAAAGTGTTCAGACTTTCAATTGCCAGGAAGAAAGACAAAGGAGGAGAGTGATGGGAATTAAAATAAGTGATTTAGTTACAGTCTCCTACTCCCAAGTGAACATTTTACTTGAGAAATCCTAACTGGATTTAAAAGAAAACTGTATAAACAGCAGGAAAAAAGGTGGAAGAACTAGAAGAAAACAATGTGTGATAGATCACTACAGATAAAATATAAGGTAAAAAAAATATTTCCTCTCCATATAAATGAGGGCTTCAAATCTACAAGAAAAGTGCCAGAATAATGGATAACCCAATTGAAACAGTCTGTCAAGCATTAAACAGCTTGTATGACACTCATGCAGTTGCAAGTGTGAACAGGAGTGAGAGAGACAGATTTCATTCATTCAAGGAAAGATCCCCAAACTACATACTGCATGTCGTATCAGCTTTACTTCTCACTTTTGTCTTCGATATTTTTGAAGAATTTACAACCATTTTAAGCTGGAGTTTTGTGCTTTTCACCTTAGAGAAGGGAACCAATGTTTGCCTATTTGTTAAGAGACCTGAAGATGCTGGAATGGGCAGACCTGCCAACAACAGATGCCATTTTTCTGGTTATCCTGTAAAAAGAAGACAAATTCTTACAAATGAGCATGTGGGTCAAGGTAGCACATGTGGAAACTTGTGATTCTACTACCCTGGAGATAAACTGCACAACTCATCACCTGGGCTGGAACACCAAATCTATGTGGCCATGTAACTTTAAAGCAGTTCCAAAAATGCTTTTGGAAAATGAATGACAAAAAATGAATGACACATGCATACCTGCAGCTCATGACACCTATTCTGTGACATGCAGAGCTCCATAACACTTGGGAGACAAACTGAAGCTCTTATCTGACTGCAGACTGCTCCAGCAGGATAAGGGACTATTTTAAAGAAGGTAAGAGTGTTATCTATGGATCAGCTAAGGAAGAGGGAGATCAGTGCTGCAATTAACTGACCTCACATGCAACCCCAAGGACCATGAGGAATTTCTAGGACAGGTTTATGCTGGGTATCTCTGCTGAAAGTTCCCAGGAGGATGGAAAATGTGTACCAGCCCCCAGTCCCTCCACTGCTGGGACATCACATATAGCCATAAAGAAATCACTGAATTAAGCTCACAGAAAAGGACAGAATTCTACTGATCTTAACCCTCTAGAGCAGTTATTACACACAGTCCATGGCAGGATAAACCAAACAAAAAACCTGCTTAGTCTTTAAGTAAGGCCTTCCATTTGAGAGGGGAAATGAAGGAAACTACTAACAAGACAAACTAAAGAGCTGGTGGACTCAGATCGGAGAAGATCTTGGAATTTCATTAAGTCAAAGGAAGCAAAACCCATATGTATCCTAAAGAAAGGGTAAAACAGAGGGCAGAACTTCTGACAAAACTGGACAGATTTCAAAAAGGGTGGAGAAATATGTAGAGCACTGTAAAAATGGCAGGAAAATAAATCAGAAATCTGGACAAGACTTTGGTCACAAATAAAGCAAACAAAGAGAGAATTAACGGACATGGCATAAATCAGCCAAGATGTGAGAGCTAACAAATCTATGTCACAAACACAACTGAATATTTTGCCTTGGTTTTAATAAAATTTAACACAGGAGAAAAAAGACAACTCGAAGAATTAAGTTATGGAAACAAAAGTCATCCAATATGCACTAGGCCTGGACCAAGGAGCCACAGGGAGTCTGAACCATCTTCAGCACATGTTGTGAAAGAATATAGTTTTTCTTAAATGAAATGTTATGAAAACAGGGAAGGTAGAATCTGCTCAAAAATCCGTGTGAGACAGAAAGAGAGATCTGAAAACTGACCATCCCATTGACCGAAATATTTAAATATTCAAAAATAAAGAATAAAGACGTGGATTAAAAAATCACTAGGAAAAAACCCAGTAGGACACATTCCATAAAAACAGATCAATCAAAAAAATTCTACATTTTCTTGAAAATCCATTTTCTGGATAAAGGATATCATATAGTATCATGAGGAATTATTATTTATGACAAAAAAGTTAAGGATAGTTAGTAGAGGAGTTAGTATCAAAGATGGCACAGAACTGGCCAAAGGACAGCATCAATAACGTGCAAAAACCAGGATGTATCAAGCTGAGGTTACCATTAAAAACATTCCTCTCTGCTTACTGAGATTCATGTCTTTTAACATTTTTAATGACCCTGACTCATATTAAGATACATAGGATGAAAGTTGGCCTTTTTTTTTCCCTACATCACCTAAGACAAAATTTAGGGTTTAAAATTAGGGTTCAAAATTAGGGTTCAATTTTGACTCTGATCAATACATATTCAAAGTGGAAGAGTAGCTCCCATCCCTAAGATGGTAAGAAAGCTGGTGAGTCCATCACACAAAATACTACCAAAAATATCAGCTTGCTTTAGCTGATAAAGATCAACTGGGAAATAAAAGAACTGCTGCCCAAAAAACACATCAAGTGAGCAAACACCAAGGGGAAAAAAAAATTCCTTAAATGAAAAGCCAGTGTTGACATTTGTGTAAGAGTAGTCTCCATTCTTACTTGTAGCCTTGAGAGCAGGGTAAATAACAAATACCCCACGCCTGCAAACCTGACCCTGGGGAAATGTGTTCCCTGTACTCAATCCTGGCACAGGAATAGCTCACAGCCAGTGGGAACAGAAAAGGCAAGCACATTGCCCTGCTCCAGGAACCAAGCAGGCCTTGGCATTGTGGAGACAAACACCAGCTGTTGAGACAGCACAGCAACAGCGCCAGGGTGACACCCTGGCCATCCATGTGTGCAAATCCACAGCTCTGCCTCGGAGCAGCCACTCAGGTTTGGGAACAAGGGCAGCTAAGCAACCAGGAATACCTGGCCAATTTCCCAGTATAGACTTCCTGGATTTGCACTCGAGTTTTGTGGCTGGCATCTCGTGTTTTCCTCTCAGCAGCAGGTATCCTTTTATGTATGGCAGTGTTTGTTCTGGATACAGGACCGGGGCATATGAAGCCACCGACTCCAGGTTAACAGGGCCCTGTCTAACGCAGCTACTTCTGCAAAGTGCTCAGGAGCATCATACAGCTCCTTGCTGTGCTCCCAGCTTGGATATGAGCAGAAAACTTTGCAAAGTGCAGAGTACTATCCTAACATAATGAATGTCAAAACTTTCCACTTTCACACTTTCTGACCTCACTCCCCGCCATGTAACACCCAGATATTCGGGGCTGCCCAGAGCCATGAACGAGCCGCTCTTTCCTGGGACTTGTTTTGGTTTTAGCTTTTTTTTTCCTTTACTCCCCCCCGAGAGTGCTTTTCCCTACACCCTACAGCTTCCCAAGAATCAGTGTGTTTCAAAAAAACCCTTTTCCACAGGAAAACGCGAACTCTAAAGCGGCACGGCCGTTGCTAACACGAGAGGAAGGGCGGGGGCACGGGGACAAACATCCCCCACAACTTTGCCACAGGAAAAGGGAGCTGCGGAGGGGCACGGCTGCTGCCAACACCCCGCGGGGGCTGCACACAGGGGCTGCAATGCCAGACGGAGCTCGGCCCCGCTCGGCAGCAGGGCCCGGAGCAGCCCCCCAGAAGCTCCGCCGGGCCGGGAGCGCGGGCGGCGGCCGGCCGAGGAAAGCGGGGCGGGAAGCGCTGCCGGAAGAGCCAAGCGCGGCTTCTCCTGCCGGCCGCGGCCCGGCTGAGGCGGGCGGGGAGCGCGGCCCGGGCACTCACCGAGCAGAGCTCCAGCTGCAGGACGCAGCGCAGCGCTTTCCGCGGCATGGGCGGGCGGGTAGCGGGGCCCGCCGGGTCCGGGCCGCTCGGGCTCGGCCGACGCCGTTGTCACGGTAACCGGGGCGCGTCCGGCCCGCGGCGGCCGCTCCGCCCTCCTCGGGGGCGGCTTCCCCTCCCTCCTTCCTTGTCTCCGTGCCCGCCCCGCCCTGCCCTCACCGCCGTCGCGCTGGAAAGATGAGATCCTGTGCTGGCGCTGCCTACACGCGTCCCCCGAGCGCCCACGTCCCCTTCCCCTCAGCCCCTCACTGCTCTCCGGGTCCTCCTGCCCTCACAGAATCAGGCAGGTTGGAAAAGATCTCTGAGATCGCCGTGTCCAACCTATGGCCGAACACCACTCTCAGCTAGATCATGGCGCACGTCCCGTCTTTCCTCAAACGCCTCTTCAGGGACTGTGGTTCCCCCACTGCCGTGGGCTGCCCGTTCCAGTCTATAATGATCGTTTCCATGAAGAAATTCTTCCAAATTTCAAACCTAAAAGCCTGGCACACTTTCAGAGTACGTCCTCTTGTCCTGTCGCTAATCCTGTCCCTCATCCCTGCTCATCCCACAACCTTCTCTGGTTCTCCCACCTTCCCATCCTGACCTCAAGCTGGCTCATCCTGGCACTCCCCACAGGGCTTTCTGGAGCTGCTGGAGTGTACCAGAAGTACCATGCATAGTAGATAAAAAAGTACCATAAATAGTAAATAAAGCACCAGAAAGAGTAGATAAAATACAGTTTCCATCCTCTGCCTCCTGAGTGCCAGTGGTGGGTGATGGAGCACTGGTGAGAAAGCGCAGGTGTCCAGTGTGGGACAGGGAATCAGGTCACAGGCTGCTTTGGGACATCCAGGAGGAACGTGAAGCTCAGGATGTGTCAGATTCCTCCAGCTTCTTGATCTGCCAGATTCCTCTAGCTTCTTGGTCCTACTGCAGAAAGGTGCAGAGAGAGGCAGCAAGCCTTCTCTGCAGCAGAGGGGTCTCAACCAAGTTTTATACATCTCCAGGCTTAAGTAGCTAAAAAGCATTGGATTTCCATGCTTTTTTTTTTCTTTTACTCTTTTGATGCAATTTACCCGCATCGTGTTGTAGACATCTGGGCCCTTTTGACTCAAATATCCCATTTTAATGTTCTCTGTGGGTGAGACACAGTGCACAGGGTATATTCCATCTTTGAAGACTCGTCTGCATGCTCATATCTGAAACTGTTTATTCCTATCCTCCCACAAACTCAGATTTATGTCCTTGATCTTCACCATTTTGGTCATATCAAGGATATTCCCCAATGTCTCTGCTGCTTAGTTGTTTTCAGAATATTTGCAATCCCATCCAACACCAAAATAGTCTGATTTCTGTCTTAGCAAGTGTAGGTTATTTCAGCCTCACACCTTGAGGGAATTTTGGGCTTTAAATATTCTTTCCAAGTCCTCAAGTACAGCTGTAGAGAGGACAGAAAATTTTAATTGCTTCCAAAAGAAAGCAGTGGCTCAAATGTATCCCTTGGCTTTTTTTATTTTAATTTTGCAATTTCAAAGAAAAATCATGTTAAGTGATCTGGAAAGAAACAGCATTCTGAAAATGCTTTGATTTCTGTCTTTGTTTTTTGGTTTTCCTTATTTTTTTTAAAGGAAACAGCAAAGAACACAATAGGCCAGTGCAGACCAAAAGTGAAATTGATAGATGGATTAAGTGTTGCTACTAATACTTGATACTAATGTTTTAAAACAAATAAAGGATTGGAAAGGCAGGGCTTGTTTCCATTAATGTGACTTCTGTAGCAGCTCTATTTGTTTCTGTTTAGGTGGTTTTGGGTCTTTTTTTAGGGTGTGGTTTGGGTTGTTTTGGTTTAGAGTTGTTTTTTGTTTGTTTACTTGGTTTTTGTTTTTTGGGGTTTTTTTGTTTTAGCAAAGGATTCTGTGTTTAGGGCCTGAAGAATTCTCTGTAGACTTCTACTACGTATATTAAGGAGGGGCTTATTGTTGGATAAAATAATTTTTTAAGTTTTATCAGTCTCAAGGTTATGAATAGCATTCCAGAGTTAATGAGAAGAAAATTCTCACAGATCCATAGCTTCAGATGGTACCAGTATTAAAATGGTTTATTGCTTATTTTCAGCCAGCTTTCATATATATGCTTTTTAGAGGGTTAAATAATGTTTAAAGATTGTGAAGTATGAGATATTATGGTAAGTGTGGCCTTATAAGGACAGAAGATAGATAAATGCCGAAATCAAAAATGGTATCATGTTTGTGATGAGAATTTAATATCCATGTGCAGTGCCCTGGAACAGAAGTACTTTATAGCCCTTGAAAAAGGAGCACAAGGCAGGACAGAAAGCTTCTCCAAAGTGATAAGGCATTGATGAATTTCAGTGCCTTTCCCTGGCAAACCCTTCTGGTCTGCAGAGTTTCTGCCCCTTCTCCCTGCTGGGCCTTGGGAAGGAAGGCTGCTGCTGCTGCTGCAGTGCTTTCCTCTCCAGCCCTTTCTGCAGCAATGTGAGACCCAGCTGGACCTTCTCATTTTTGTTAAATGCCTGATTTACACTTGCATTTGCACTGCAGGAACAGTAGTGCAGGAATCTGGGTGACAATGAGGGAAACCCAGACTTTTACTAAAAATGCATTTCTAATAAGAAAAAACTGTTAAACAAAATGACAAAAAAAGTGGTTGCTCCTGTAATAGATCTCAGATTTTAACTGCTGTTAAATTTCCCTGCAGTGAAAGCACATGAATTCCTTTGCATTTACAGCAGTAAATCTTCTTGTAATACTAGTTATACTTAGTTCCATGTATTAAAAGACTCTGAATGATTTCTCTGCATTGTGTTATTTTTTTCTTTTACAATCTACTCTAGTTATGGGCTTCAGCTTTTCCTGTCCTCTGGCCCTCTAAAATGGCTGCTACAGAAGAGCTGTGATGTCATCAAAAGACTCAATTTTGTTCTTATTTCTACCACTGCAAACTAGAAGTAACTGTCAGAAGATTGAAGTCACACTGGTTTAAGATAATTAACCACAAGATTTATATCATATTGTTGCAGTTCTCATGATGGTCAGGCATCATGAGATTCAGTGCATTGAAATATGCTGCAAAATAGGTAAAGTGGGAAAAATAGGAAGGGTGAGGTTTGCAAACAGTGGGTATTGTACAGTTCAGAATCTAAAAAATACTAGGGATTAGACAGAATTAGATGAGATCAGGCTGGAGATCAGAGAGCAAGCCTAACATCACCGAGTTTTTCAGAGGCTCACTTTCAGCTAAGAAGCCAGGAATGGTTTTCTCCATTTCTTAGGAAGCAGAACGCCGGGTGCAAAGTGATATTTCACAGACATCCTGGCAATCAGAGTGAAGGGAATAAAGGAGCTTTCCACATTTGGCACCCTGTGCTACAGTTCTTAGGAATATTGTCAGAGGTTCATTTCTACCTATTTTGAGCCCCTGATGTTGCCCAGGCAGCCAGAGGAGACATCTCTGTTCCTGCACATCGAGCCTGTTATTTAGATATTATCACTGAGCATGACTGACCATTAATAACTGAAGAGAATTCCAGGAAGGCATCTGCTCAAACAACAGCAATAAATTACAGGATATGGTAAGATTTCCACATTAGAAAGGCAAACAAACAAAACATTAAGACTGTGTTACTTTAGAGGGGAGAAAAATAAGATGTAATTCAAAGGAGGTACATAAGGGACTGAATAATATGTAGAAATAAGTTCTTCTGTTTGCCCATGCCTATTTATCCTTTCAAAGGACACGTGCAGTGAAATTAAAAGACGACAAAATCAAAACTGATAGAAGAAAGTACTTTAGATGGTGGAACTTGTTACCACAAGATGTATTCAACAATGTTCCAAACAGAATTAGGGTGCTCTGGGGACCCCACTGGACAATATCCCCTTGCATTAATTTTGATCTTCTGACTCACTGTGAGGTTAAATGTGCAATCCACAAAAGTCGGTCCCTGTGCAAAGAATTGTAGTAGAAGAAAACAGGCAGCAGAAGTTAAGACTAAATAATCCCAGAACACTATAGAGCAGAGCTGGAAGAATTTTGTGAGAGATTCTAATAGGATCTAAGGGGACCGAAGTGAATTGGATTACTGCAGACAGTAATGTAACAGGGAAAGGTAGAGTGCTAGATTATTGATGAGGACAGAGGATGGAGATTACCTGAGGGTGTCAGCACACTCCTCACAAAATACATTTTCATCTAATCTTTCTACTTTAAAGCAGGGAAAAAAAAGTTGCCCAGAAGTTCCCATTCATTAATATCTATTGCTTTCGAAAAAGGCCACAATGATTTTGTTGATCCTGTCTTATTGAGCATCCTGCTCTTTCCTGATGTGCAAAGACACGACTGGGCAGAGCTCTTGGCTTTCTTGATGAATGTACGAGTTGCTACAGGCAAAAGGCCACCTGCTCATGTTTTTATGTAGGTGAAGCAGTGACCTTTCTTTGCCATGCCCTCCCAGTCTCACCAGTGCCTTTCGCAGAGCATTTTTACTGCACATCTGGAGAAACTCAGTGCCTCTTTAACATTTCACTGTGGCTCAGCCATGACAGAGCAATTCCTCCATTTTGCTGCTAAGTCAATACTCACTTTGGTGCATGTGAGCATTAGCTTCACTTATTTTTGATGTATAACAAAAAAGAGTAATAGGCAAGCTATCTAAAGACACTGAAGTTTTCTTAACATGTAAGCTGTTTTCCAGGTCCGCTAAATTCTTTTTCGACTGGCTGCAGCTGAAGAAATCAAACCTGATTTGATTACAGCCACTAGAGGAATATTCCAGATCTTGAATTCAGCTGTAGTAATTGGAAACTTGTGTTGTAAAGGAATCATCTAAATTCATCTAAGAGATAACTTCTTTGAATACAGTCTTAGGAATTCACAGATGACACGAATTCAATCAGCGAAGACAGCATTAGCTTTGTACCCCAGAAAGTTCCTAGTCTCTCCCTTACTCAGTTCAGAAGAGGTAACATCTTTTTTTGTGCTTTACATTT